AGTTTGGATGGAATCTTGCAAAAGTAGTTGATATAACGGGTGACTGACAGTGAAGGATAAACTGGAGTTATTTTTTTAAATTTCGTGTTTCAGATGAAAAGATATGCACCGTTAAGAACGTCGTCATTATTGTTGTACGAAGCCGCTAAAAGCTCGGGGAACTGCGGTGACCAATTCATGGAGGTTACACAACAAGTACAAGACCATCGCTCACAAATGGACAAGCGATTCAGCCATAGTCGTTGATGACTCTTCTCATTCCTGTAAATTCAAAATAATCATGTATATATAACAAAACGTTTTTACTCAAGCAACTATACCCTAGAAACAAAAAAAATCTTTTAATATAATTAAATATGAAAATTTGGTCAAAGCGGATCTTAGTGCTTAAATAATTCTGTATGAATTTATATACATATGTATTATGTAATATGATTCTGTAAATTTCGCACCAAAATTTTTTTCCGTTTCAAACGCCATCATGAGTATAATCAGAGTAGTTTTAGCATTTCTATTAAATTGACAAGCAATTTAATAAAAGTGTTATTATACTATTTTGGTTTATTTTTATGCTAATAAACATCTTCATAAGGATATTAGAGTAATTAGATATTAATAAGGATTTTAAAATCTGCGAACAATTTATTACAAAATCTTTCAATTTGTTGTTTTCTACTTACATTCCATCTTCGTCGTCCATAGTGTCAATATAATCGGTATAGGTATCAACCGATTTACTCAATTTCTACAATTCTCTTTTTACAATTTTGCTAGTATGATCGTTGAAAGTCTTCCGATAGGATAATTATTTGCTTCTCTTCTTCGCTGAGTTCCCATACTACAGAATTAATAAAACAAAATTTTTTATTAATAAACAGAAATGAAATGTAAAAGATCGATAATTTACGCACTTTCTTTTTTAGGATTCTCTTTCTCTTGCTCTACCTGTGTAAGTAGACTGTGAACCTCCTTAACTTGCAGTAATCCGTGAGAAAATATTCCTGCTGGAAGTTTACTCTGGAAACCGTCCATGTGCGGCAAGCTATTTTCTTCATCTTCGGCTTGGCCATCATCAAATGTCAAAACTGTGGTGAATAAGCTGGTTCCGCTACAAGTTAAATATAACTACCTAGTTATATACTACTGATCTACATATTTATTCAAAACTCGCTAATATTCTAATAAACCTATTAAATCTTTTAAAAGTACTGTATTTATATTTAAAAAGAAACTAATTATTTTTCGGCAAAAACATTAAAACACTTAAAGAATTAATAAAGATTTAATAATTAATATAATTAATAACTTTAAAGGATATATATTTATAGAGCAATAATTAATTTTTTTATTTTAAATTTATATTTATAAAAAAAATCAACACTATGCATTCTGTTGAAATCCTAACATTTTTGTATTTGTTTTTATATTTCAAATGTCGAGAGAGAGAGAGATGATAGGGAAGATTCGAACCAAAAAAATCATAGATATAGGGAAGATTCGAACCAAAAATCGTGGACATTACCGACACGATCGTGGACATTGGCTACTAGTTCAATGTCCACGTTTTGTGGACATAGAGGCGCTTCAAAATAAAGTTGTAGCTAAATCCTGGGCATGGCCGCTCTCAGGCTTCTCTCTGGTTGCAGCTAAATCCTGGGCATGGCGATGGCCGCTCTCAGGCTTCTCTCTGATAATACTGATTGTTGACTGATGTGACCGGCACTGCAGTCAATTGCAGAGTGCAGAGTGTAGTGATTCACAAAACAAAAGTAAATAAAAATTTGACGTAAGGACTTTTGATTCAATAATTTTGATTTGTCTTGTTTATATTGCCTTCTTAAAAAGTTTGACTTGTAATTCTCACTATTCGTGATCGTGTGAAGCAATATATTACTGCCAATAAAAAGCAAGATTTCTGTCATAAAAAAATGTATGAGCCATGAGTTACTATAAATAGTTGAGAATTCGTTGGTCGTTGGATATGTCAAGTTGTTTATCGTGACTGTCGATTATCACTTCGAAAGTGTCGAAAGTTAAAGATTCTGAAAAGTTCGTGAGGAAGATGCTGTGTCGCGATGGAACTCTCAGTTTAATCTGCTTTATTGCAGCAAGTTTAATCTCCTTTTCCCCTGAATTACAGTTCAGGTTAGGATTTAATATTTATGCCACATATTTTAAAAATATTTGGTTTTTACATGCGGTACAGTACATTCTTATAAATGTATCTGCATTGCTGGCATTTCGCGGTTTTGCTTATCAAGTAAGTTGTCTCGCTATCACATTATGTTGTAGAGGTATTACTTAAAATTTTATATACTCAAGTTGTTATTGTTTTACAGATTGCAATCAGAGCATTGTTTCTTGGATATGTCTTTGGAATTGGCATTTTATTATCAATCAATGCTCCGTCATCATGGCAGGTGTTTGGCATTTATACAACAGTATTAGCGAGTTTTCATTATACAGAATTTTTAGCTATTGCCTGGTCAAATCCAGCTGCATTGTCAATCGACAGTTTTATTCTTAATCATAGTGTAGCATATGGGATAGCAGCATGTCTCAGTTGGATAGAGTTTATCATAGAAAGGCATTACTTCAATGTAATGAAAAGACCTTCCCTTGTGTCTTATTTTGGGCTATTATTATGCATTTGTGGTGAAATTTTAAGAAAACTAGCAATGTGTACTGCAAAACACAATTTTAACCATGTTGTGCAGAATGAGAAAAGTGACAATCATGAGCTTGTTACACATGGTGTATATAATGTTTGTAGACATCCTAGTTATGTAGGATGGTTTTATTGGTCCATAGGAACACAGGTAAGATATAAATTTTCTAAAATTATAGACATTTGATCCTGTATACTCTTGTCACATAATGGTTAACATTCCTAAATTTTTATTGCAGTTAATACTTCAAAATCCACTATGCCTCTTTGCATACGCACTGATGTCATGGAGTTTCTTCCATGACCGTGTTCTGATTGAAGAAATAACTTTATTAAATTTCTTCGGTGAAGACTATGTTCAATATCAAGAAAGAGTAGGTACTGGGCTTCCATTTATTTCTGGATATAAGATTAATTCATAGCACCCTGTACTAGTTTAGTCATATTTTATAAAAAGACCTAACAAATAAAAAAAACATTTTATATATTTGTAGAGGATGAGATTAGATTTGATTAATAATAAGACTCAACATTTGGAAAAAATTGTTGTGTATGTATATATAATATATAATATGTATATACACATATATAATATATAATATATATTATATAATTTTGAGAATGATTTATTAATTTTCTTTAAATCGTTTTGTCTTCATTATTATTTAAATAATTTTAATTACTTGTGATATGTAATATTATACATACAATGTATACATATTATAGTATATTTGATGCCAATTTACATATTTACTTGCCTAGTCATAAATTTTTCGTTTTAAAATTTTACATGAATGGAAAACTCAGGTTTAATGTCATAATTGTTACTTAGCATTTATAAACGACATATGCTAATACACAATGTAAAATAATAAATGTAAGTTGTAAAATTATGTAAATAAATATGCTTGTTAAGATTGTCTTCGAGGTCTAATGGTAAATTTTTATCATTATAGGCCTTTGTACAATGGATATCCAAGTTTATTAATATTAAAATGTTTATAATAATTTTGATTATTATACATATACATGTGACTATATATATATATATATATTGTAGAACTAATTGTCATAATTTATTTTTATGTAGTATTTTATTTTTGACATTAGTTTTTTAAAGATTTGTTTCTAAACTCCATAATAAATAATTTTAACTATAATTTATTATTTTATTTCTTTGATCCGCTATGTTGGATTTATTACTTTGAATTTTTAAGTTTGACTTTATTCAATAATCTCCTAAATTTTTAAAAGAATAGGACATGTCCCAATTAAAAAAATCTAATCTTAAAGGATTAATATTCTCCTTGTCTTTATATATATTTAATTGAATTTGATTAAATATATGTGATCTTAGATAGAAATTAAAATGTTTATTTAGAATTAAGAAATTACAAATTATTAATTATTCATAAAAATATTCACAATGAAATAAGAAAAGTACACGGTTTGTTAGCAAAATTATAATTTATTGTCTCATTTTCTTTGAAGAATTTTTATGTAACAATAGACTACATATATTACGGTAGATACTTTCAGTATGATTTTATAATACAGGGTGGAGCAATATTAGCTATTACCATACCTGAAACATTGCTCCTAATTGAGGTGTTTTAATTAGGATGCCACTGGCATTATTCACACCCAAACGCCGCAATCGCATAAAAAAGGCATTTCAGACCAGATATTTGTTATTGCACCCTGTACAAATAATGCAATATACATACATATTACATTATTATGTAACTAACGTTTGCACGAACATCAAAAAGCGTTCATTCGATGTCAGAGTGTACGCGGTTAAGGTGTGTTAGAATATGATTATACAAGTATATGCATCGGTTTTTTTCTGTACATGATCATTTACAGTATGTTATAAGTTATAATAGAATCATATAGCGAACGTAAGAAATTCCACAGAAGCTATGTTACATTATTTCGGTATTTCATTTTTCAAATAATATCTAAAGGTAATCAGAATCTCTTATTTAATGAATTTCGTTTTTCATTTTGTACATTAATTTTAGCTTATTAATCGAGTTGTTATGTATCGTAAATAATACATTAAGGAAACATTAAATGACAACGCACATACTGTAGTTCGTATGTTACACAGGGTGTTCTATTTTAATCAATACAATTACTTTTCTCTAAAATTATTTGTGATGGAAGAAAGTTTCAAATAAAAGTAGAGTGGTTTCTAAAGAAATGTATTTTGGTTACATTTTTTTGTATAGTGAAGATGCCGAAAGGATATGAAGAGATTACCTATCACTTTATGTCTCTACTTATTACTTTAGAAAAAAAACGACCAAAATATGTCTCTGTTCTATTTTCGTCTAAAATATATTTTGTACCATTAATAATTTCGGAAAAAATTAATTGGATTAAAATGGAATACTCTGTATGAAAATCATTGAAAAGTATAATAGTTTATATAAATTAGATGATACTTTTTGACGGAATAAATATAATTATATGAAAAAGTAAAAAATAGAGAAATAACAGACTCATAAAAATGTATTAGACGTAAATCTCTTTCGTATAATATTTTTAATTACTACAGGACATCTTACTTTTTATCATGTAAACTGAAAAGTGGATACACACGAAAAATTTTAAAAAAACTTATTTAATTGAAGATTAATTATGTGGCAAGTTAGTTATACTGATATTAAAACATTCCGTCCATAAGTATATCTAATATAATTTAATGGTTTAAGAAAATTAAAATCAGTGTTTTAATCGTTTAAGAATATAATAAAATAATAGTTATTTTATATTGTACATATTGCACTTTAACTGATATTTGTAAAAAAAAATGATAATGTAATTATCAATATTGCGTAGATAGATGATAATATCTTGATGGCCGAATAATTATTACTATCGAATTGTACGTTTTACTTTCATAAAGTTTCAAATATAGAGAATATTAGAGAACTCTATAATTACTGTTTACTTTATACGCAGGTTTTCCATAATCTATTCAATATAAATTTTATATATGTAGCAACACACATTTTTTACTTACGCCATCTTTATTCCTATCGCTATTCTCTCTCTCTCTCTCTCTCTCTCTCTCTCTCTCTCTCTCTCTCTCTCGTATGTAACTTTCTTCGTTTACATATCACGCAGATTGATTAAAATCTTTCTTTTAATAAAAAACGTACGTACGTTCGATGATACCGTTCAATTACTCATTCATTTATCCTTGATTATTCGCCTGTCATTCCCTTGCATTAAAAATCACATTTAAGCATCTACATATGTGTGTGTGTGTGTATATATATATGATAAATAATAAGTATTCATCATGGTATGAGTGCAATCTAGACTTGAAGAATCAATCAAGTTCATCAATCCTCTATTTGATTGTTGATGTATGTGTTTTGTTTCAAGGTTCTCGTTTTTCAGAGATTAATAGAGAATAATGTCCGTAACTTATGCATTTCGCCTCTTATAAATATATAAATGTGTATTCTCTTTCCAAGTGTAAAAATTTAATATCTAATATCGATTATAGAAAAGTTGTTTATCGTTTCTCTAACGAAATAGTTTTGGTTGACGAGAATTTATTGTCTTTCTGGTATAATAACGGCAGATATATCAAAGTCTTAGTAAAACTTTGATTACACTCATACACCAGTGAATAATAGAATTTATTTCCTATACGACGCAGAACTTTATCGTATTATAAATATGAATAAATCAGCACGTGGCAGTGAAAAATTATAACTATGTACTTTATCAACACATTTTCCTTTCGTATCAGTCACTGTATCAGCTGCTTCAAGTCGTCGAGCTGATTCGCAAAAATAAGACACCGCGAAGCGGTTGATTACATGAAACAGAATGAGGAGAACCAAGAAAGACATGAAAAGCTTAATTGCTTTATCTTCTTGTATTTACATTGCAACTAACAGTAAATGAAGACTTCTAGAATAATGCATAAATCTTCTGTCGTTTTTAAAATAATAATTTATTATTACTTGCGAATTGAATTGTATCTACTCTTTTTGTACAAATAAAGCGGTATAAAACGTTATAGTTATTTTAATTATAAAATATTGATAGCAATATATTAGTGCAGATAGACTCTGTATATCTATGGATATAAAATTGTTTTGTTGCTCGTTTAATTAGCAATAGTTACTTTCGTATCTTTCACATGTTACCTCAGGTCGTTCATGATAAACCCCATGAAAGGAATACATGCACTTTAAATACGTTTTACTTTTCGATTTTTGTATACGTAGAATGCCTCGTCAAATCAAATTACTTCAATCGAAAAGTTGCGTCTTTAATATATTACACAATATTTCGACCACGTTTGATTAGCTGTGATAACAGATTTGCTTTTGATCCTTTATATCTCTAATGTTTTCAAAATATTAGATATGTATGAAAAATTTAACGTATATGTATATTTGGCTTTAATTTCACGACATTTACATCAACGGTATTACCATTCGCCAGTAGTATGAACTCGCGGTACATTCCTTAGATGCAAATGCGAATCTTCTCTTCAATATCTTCCAAAGTCACCGCGTGTAGGAAGTCTATCAGTTCGATCACTGCAAAATAAAAAATACAAAAGATTAATAAATACCTTGATGATTTTTTAAAAGAATTTTTATATAATTTTTCACAACCTTTATGTGAATTTTAAAATTTTTCAGAATTCTATATAATTTTATAACTTTTTATTATAGAAATGGACTTTCTCAACATTTTTGAAAAATGTTGAGAAAGTTCATTTCTATAATTTTTTATATATGTAAATAAATTCTGTAATATTTTAAGACTTAAGATTTTTCATTCTGATTTCTAAAAGAAACTTGTAAAATCTGAAGAAGTTTAAGATACTTTTTCAGAAATTTTCATAAATTTAACCATTACAAAGTGAGAAATTCACTATAGACAATAGTACTGATACAGTACATCGTATTTCTTATGTCATATTTTAAGATAAGAAATACAATAAAAAAATAATTAATCATAACAAATCTCATTTCAAAAAAAGTTGTAAAATTTAAAAATTAAATTCTCGTTTTCTAAATGTTAAAATATGACAAATTCTTAAAAATTACGAAATATATATATAAGAACTTTTTTCAATGTATTTAATAACAATAAATTTATATATTATAGTGATGATTGAACGTTGAATATATTAATATTTATAACGGAAGAAAAGAATGATGGAAAAGCGACGTACCGTAATTTCATCGTGTCACTTCCAACGTCGGTGTTAAGCATTAAATAATTTACAAATTTATTAGCTGTACATATTATGCACACTCGCAGAAATACACACTCTTTAAAGAATACTGTACATTTGCAGCGTGATTTGATAATAACATGGTTTGGTCTAAAAGAAAATGTGTATTTCCGACAAGTGAAATCGATAATGTTCTATTCATTTAGCTGAACAAGCTATTGAGAACGTTAATTGCGTCTACGCATAACAGCGTAAAAAGTACACTTTGTTCCTTAGCGTCCCTAGTCAAAGCGATGAGATTTTGAAGTATAATTAATAATGAGTAACTCGTCATGTCGTACGCTGCAAGATTGGACGCGGGTTTCGGATGAATAATGTTCACCGGCGGCGGTGGTACAAATGCATCGAATCCGTCTGCATCCGCATCCGTGAATACCAACGAAGATGGTATCCATCTTACTCTGAGCAGCATGCGAAGTAAATATCCAATGACATTAATCGTTGACATCAGATGTTATCGCATATAATTTATATTTATATTTCTAATGAATTGTAGAAATTATTTGAATATTTAATATATTGTTCAAATAATAGAAGTAATTTAATATTTAAAAAAATACTATAAAATTAGACATTTGGGACAAAAATGTTTTTTTTAAGATTCTGGTGCAATGTTTACCTGGTGCATGGTGAGACATTTACTCCTCTGATAGCCTTCTCACCGATATCGATAGCCCCTGAGTCCTGTACCTCCAGCGTGTAAATACAACCGGAGAATCCGTCGTGGTATTTACCGTAAGTCATTGCATAATCAGGTAAACCACCCAAATAAACGCTACCCATTGCATTAAAAGTTCGCTGAAGTCCGTCACTGACACCGCTCTCGGTGTGTTCGCCGTTCAGTTCGACGCTGCCATCGCTTCCTTGACGTTTCAGAATTATCCTGTGCCGTTCCCCGTCATCGACGCGCTGGGCGGTGACGCGAATCATGGCGGGACCAGAGCCCAAGTTGTATTGATACTCCACGTACCTGGGAACAAAAAATAGTGTTAATATTCAAAGATTTAAAATGTCTTAAGATTAGAGAATAGCGAACAGTTTTTATGCTTTTCAATTAAAAAAAATTCAGTTGTTTAAACGCATCTTGAGAATACTGTTCAATTCAAAATTCTAATAGAAAATACAGTTTTTCAATCCAATTAAATCTAAAAAAAAGTGAAAATAAATTACAAATGTTATTAAAGTATAATGGAAAATAGATCACACATGCTGTTAAGCTCGGTATGTCTTACCCATCTACTACAGCAACAGCAATGTAGTTATTGGGACTTAAATCGTTTGGCGATTGACCATGCCACAAAATCAATCCGTAACTCTTATTAGTGCTTATCTCGAGGCCAAAAACTTCACGTTCTTCTTCATGTGTCATGACAGATCTATCTAATTCCAGCCAGCCGTCTCCTCTGAAGGCAACATCATACGTGATCTCTGCCACTATAAATATATAATCACATTATAATTATTTTACATCATAATTACTTTATGTCTATTTTTTAATTATTTTATTATACATTTTAAATATTATTATAATTATAATATAATATATAGTTAATATAATCAAATCATTACGCGGGCGAAAATAATGCGTTTAAAATTACAAGTATATTAATGGGACGTTATTTCAGATTATTAGAGTTGCGTTTCAAGACCGACGATAGGTCGGTGCGCAATTTGGGGGGAATTTTTCAGATAGAGTTGCGTTTCAAGACCGACGATTGTTCAGCGCGCAATTGGGGGAGGTGGGAAGGGGATTTACACATATTTACTTTAAAAATAAATATTGCGAAAAATATTACTACGTCGACCCGCCATCAGAGGTCTATAGATATTCGCAAAAATTTTCGCAAGTGCTTGGATACGCGTATATCTGTATATATAGAATCTCGATTTAATAACTTAAACAGGCGTCTAAGGTAGGCTTCCACTACAATGCCTTACTAATGAGTCCAGTAGTGGAAGTTGGGACGAAACGCCATAATTATGTGATATTCTTCACAATATATATTAGATTTATTTAAAAAGATTTTAACGGAATTATTGGTTCATTGCCCTTATCTCCTCATATTAATTGTTTAATACATATTGAGCCTTATCACAAACATTTTATAATCAAATCATATTTAACTGTTTTAATTACATATAGTGACACTTTATACAATGTATCTTATATAGAGAGACTTATATTTACAAGTATTAGGAGAAATAATTTTCATCTTTCTTTTTTTAAGTACACATGTCTTTTTAAAAATTTAGGAAATGAATGTTTTTTGCATAATTAATTATAATTTAGATATAAGTAGTATATACATTTCATACTCACACTTTTCACAATTTTGCCCGTTGTAACCGAGGCGACAATCACATTTATAGGAGTCATGGAGATCCGTACAGGTACCGCCGTTTCTACATGGGGTTAAAAATTCACATTGCTTTTGCATCTTTTCGCAGTTTCTGCCTGCGTATCCGTATTCGCATGTACACGAATAATCATCGTTTAAATTTTGACACTGGCCATGAATGCAAGGATTCGATGTACAAGGATAGTATAACGTTGTTGGCGGCTGCGTGGGCGCCGGAGTAGTGATAGTAGTATGAATCATTGTTTGATTCGGATGAGGCTCTGAACAATCTTCAATATTGGCCGCATCAATTGATGACTTCAATATATCCAAATTGACTGACGCAACTTCAAGCTATAATATAATTTAACAAAAATCAATTAAAAATAAAGTTTTTGCTTCTCTATTGTCGATAAAATTATTAATCATTATATATTTTCATCTCATTGTAACACATTATACTTTATTCTTAATCTTGATCCAAAACTCCAAACATTATTCTTTTTAAATAGATTTTCTTTACGATTTTCTTATTTATGAAGGGAAGCCCCTATTAATTTAGTTAAAGTAATTAAACAAAATATATACATATATTAAATATTGGATATTAAGATAAAATATACTTTTTATTTTATTTACATTAACCCTTCATGGTTACACTTCAAAAAGTCACATGATGGTTACTCTGGGTTAAATGACCCAAACCATTTTTGAGTGTTACCAAATCAATAGTATTACTTCCATTGGTTTCAAAAACTACAATATATAATTTCAGTCTTTAAGAAAATAGAACAACGGCGTTATAATAAAAAAATTAATTTTAACACTAAAAGAATCTTTGCTTACTTCGCTTATGCATCCACGGAAGCTACGATCAACACCGACGTTCCGATTGATCGTAATTCTTCTGCGATCAACCCCTCCGATGTAAAGAGGCGTATTTAGGTTCATAGTTCTTGCAGCTCCGAGTGATTTGCCCTCCACAAATGACTCACCGTTCACCGACAGTTTCGCATCCTTAAAGTCTCGATTCAATGTTACATGCGCCCATACACCAGGTTGAACGGAATAAGGTGATCTTATTGTTGTTATTCCAGAGCCGATATCGAAGCGAAATTCGACGTGTCTATCCTTTATCACGAGTGCTGCAAAATCTCCGAGGCCTTCGTCATTTTGAGAACAATACATCAAGATTCCATCTCCAGAGTCCGCCGGATTAAAACTCATGGCTACCTTAAGCCTAGAATTAGGTATACAATAGGTAAGGAAACCATATTATTTCACATTCTTAAAGGATCTTAAGCAACATATGCCGTGTGTTAATTTTTCATTTAGTTTGCATATTATAAAACTCAATTTTCACACTTTTAGTTTTTATCCTCATGAGTAAAATATTTGTATGAATGTAACTCATTATATTTTTTGCCTTACACTTTTTACAAAAAAAAATGCTGAAATTATAGTTTAATGGCAATCAAATATGTTATGATTTACACACGAAAGCACACGTACAAAGGATTGAAAAGAATATAGACAGGAAAGAATTTATATATATATATACATACGTACATATATGTGTACATGAACATACATATAGAAGCTCGTTTAGGTAAATTAAAATAAAAATATGAATAATGTTTATGTCTTAAAACTTACCTCTTTGTCTTACATCTTTTTAGCGTTTTACGACATGCAAGGTGATGAAATCGGATAAAACGTTAACTTAAATTAACGTGTAACTTATTACATTGACTTTCGTTTATTTGCTTTAAAAATATTTATTCGTATAGCATGAGTTCGCTGAGTATATAAACGATCATTCGTACGTGAAATATCTCTTTCTTTTAATATTTATATATATAGATTCTTAGATATATAAGTACAAACATTTTACATATGTTGTCATATATAACTATCATATACACGTATGTGATTGTTACGACTTTGACGTTTTCTAAGCTTGAGTGGGGACTAACTGTTAAATGCGACTGATTTGGCAGTGACTTCACGTATTACTTTTAATAATTAATAATGACTAAAGTGACGCGTTAAGTGTATTAATTAAGAAGCTGTACAAAACAAATTAATTACTAATTCGTAAATATATATATATATGACTGTTGTTCTAACATTACAGCACCATGATGTCCATTACAAGGAACTACGCACTATGCAGGCTCGTTGCAAACTACCTGTTAAGAATTCATTGCTTATTCTTTTTCTTTTTGCTATCATAACCATCGCCACTATGTGCACCAAAAGAAACATATGTAGGCAGTGAAAAATTGGCACAAAAAAAAAAAATCGAGCTGACTAATTTTTTTGGATATAGGCATAAACATATTTAAAAAATTTTAGATAGCTCATGATGTACGGTGATTTTTATTAGACGGAGGGAGAAGTTTATTGCTGTGATTGGATAAGTAATGATTCTCTAAATGCGTAAAATTGGTGCTAGGTCTAGCTAATGTTTTGTGTGGTGCAAATTATTGTGGTGATGTGGCCTTGATCGTGGTTTCCTAATTTGTGCGTTGCGTAATCGTGATCGACTGTGTGTAGTGGTCGAACTCTCTCTTTCCCTGAAAAGAATTTTAGTAATTAGGGTGCTTGAGGATGTTCGTATGCACTGGCAATGAGATTAATACCTATGTTCCAATTATAGTTAAATCTGTTAATTCATCAAAGGCGTAAAGATGCATTTTTATATATAATATATATGTTTATATTTATAATATTCTTATATTTAGATAAAGATATTTTCGTGTCTCAAAGATTTCAGAAAAATACCAAATTTGTTAAATAAAATTTATTTCTAACTATATAATTATTAGTAATCATTCTTTATATTCGGAGAGAGAACTTTCCATATCTTATAATATTTAAAAAAATAATTTTACACAGAATGTGTTTTATTATAATTTCTTTTATTTCATTTATTTTTCACGGGTGTGAACTATATATAAATAATTAAAAAAGCCCAAAGTAAAATGAATACGAGACGCAATCACCGTGACAATATGTTCCATCATGTGCGCTTCTAACATCGACTAAGTGCAATTAAGAAATAATTCGTGCACGTGCGTTCGATCGAGCAGAGGTACTTACCGTCTAAGAGCTTTTGGAGTCTCGTGGGCGATGAAAGCTCTATCGTCATGGAAAGCTGGGTCGTAGATGTTCATCGAATGCTCGCATCTTGCTCCTGTCTTCCCGATCGGACAGTAACAACGGAAGCTGCCGACTTCTTCATCGACGCATTCACCTTCTCCGCACGCACCTAATTATTCAATGCGCTTAGTAGGATTACAAATCTTATTTCTTAAAGACTTTAAATTAGAACAATAAAATATTACAATTTTTTATTTTTAATAATATTTAATACACATATATTATGCGTGCGATTTTTAAGATTAATAATTCATAATTATAATCGTATTATAAAATAGATCGTTATTAATAGTGATAGATATATCATTGTGGTCATTAAACTGAACAAAAAGTATATTCAAATGTGATAAATTATCATACCTGGATAGCAGGATTGGCCAATGTTGTCGCAATGCTTGCCGCTGAATCCGGCTCGACACAGACATGTGTAGCCGTTTTTCGTGGCTGCTTCCTGACACACACCACCATTATTGCAAGGATTCTCGGCGCAGGTTTCACAAGTCGTAATGCCCACGCTATCAGTCTGATCGCCAATTAGATCGACCTGTTTATCCCCGAGGACTAGTCGGCTGATGCACCCGACGAAACCAGTGTTCACCTCGGCTTGCACGTTGATTCTACTGTAGCTGGGTACTCCGCCGATGTAAAGAGGTTCCTTGAGATCGAGACCTTGGCGTCTGCCTAAAGCGACCATCTTGTAAGGACCTTCGCCGTCCACCAGCATTGTTCCTTCCTTTCGATTGCGTTGAATCTTAATGGTGTGCCACTCGCTCAAGGTGATAGGCTTATCCGCGCGAATAACAGCTGGGCCAGAACCGAGATTGAATCTATTAAGAAATTCGTTGTGTTACTAACGCGCGTTTAAAAAAATTTCCATTTTCCATTAGTAATTTTCATGCTGAATTTAAAGATTACTTCTTCAGTTTAATTTAAAAATAATCGACATTAGTTGCGACTTCTAATTTTCAATATCCAATATACACATAATAGCTAATAATTTAAAATTATTTTTCATCATATAATTAAGTTTATATAATTAAATCAAAATTTTATTTAGAAGTTTCAGATAAAAATCAATTGACTCCATGCTTGTCAAGCTGGACAAGTAAAATAAAAGGCACTACTCGTAACGCGTTTCGTGCGTATTTAATAAGATCTTTTTATTTACTTGAATTGCGGGTATCCGTTATTTAGAGATAGAACGATAAAGTCGCCGTCACCGTGACCAGATTCGTCGTTGTATAACAGAATGCCATCGTAACTTTCCGGTTTGAAAGAGATTTCGATGTTGAACTTGAGGTAGGAGTCAGGTAGAGGAGGGAAAGCAATATAGCTTTCGGGTGCCTGACTAAAATTAGGCACAACTCCTGTTACAACTAACACTGTAGGCACTTCAACTCGCGATTCTCCGTTATTTCCGGAGCAAATGTACGTTCCAGCGTCTTCAGCCTTTACATTAGTTAATTTTAATTTGTTCTACAAAATGAAAAATATATATTGAATTATCGAATAATATAAAATATTTTTAATATATATATGTATATGTATATATCATTTATAGAAATTCAATTTAATATTGGAAATTATTTACTTTTTGATATTAAAATTTTAATATTAAAATCACCAAACAATACTATTTTTAATATTTAAAATAAGTAATTACTACTTTCTAATATTGAATTTCTATAAGAATCTATCATTAAATTCCTGATTAGATAGAAATATATGACGTATGCATACCTCGTAAGTCTGACTGTCACGTGGCAGAAGTCCACCGAGTTTGTTCCACTGGAATTGTATTGGCGGATCGAGATCTAACCGACAATCCATTTCCAGACTTGATCCGTACGGCGCCAATTTGGTTTCAATCGCTGGTTCATCGAGAATTCCACCTGGAAAATCGTAAAATTCTTTGTTCATAATAATTTTCATAATAAAATTAATTATTCGCCGGCTTTATACTTACATAAAACGTATGCAGTTTGAGTGAGCATTGGCAAAAAGTAGATATTTATGTCAAAAGAGTGTAATGTTTCATGTAAATACTTCATTATTTATATATTTGCCATATATATTTATTGTTATTAATTTATCTATTAATTACCATGGACGATTAGATTAAAGTCCTTCGCGAGTATGCCTTCGGGTGTATCTACTGTGCATCTGTAGGGTCCGCTATCGCTAACGACTACATTAGTTAGCCTCAAAACGTTGCCGTACTCCTGTGCGTTTGTTGGCAGGCTTACGTGATTCGGTCTCATCCAACGATAACGTGGACTGCGTGTTCCAGTGTATGTACAATGTATATCAACGGTGTCTCCGATGTTTATTGGATCTTGAGACACCTCGATGCTTACTGAAGGCACTGCAGCAGCTAGAATCGAATTATACATGTTGGCTATGCGTTAAGATCGTAGAGTTAGGAAATGTATATCCTGTTTTGTACATCGTGAAGAAGATACTACAGCCTTTGATTTCTAAAATGAACTTCGAGATGCGATTGCAGCGTTTTATTCGATGTGTCCATACCTAAACTCTTTATATCATGTTTGAATGCCAGGAAAAATTACGTAAATAAAAAAATGATTTCTTGTTGAAGGAATAATTAATATTAGCATTTAAAGATTGCAGAAGAATATTACATAGAAATTCACTCGGAATAAAAGTTAAAAAAAAAAAAAAAATAGCGTCGAATTAAAGTTTGAAATATATGTTGATTTATACATATCATATTTGCTGCTGTCAAGGATGGGATACGGGTGCACTTTTTCCGCACTAGATTTTTCTATGTTTTATAGAAAGATAAAAGGTTGAAAACTCGTAATATTTTCGAATCTTTCCACTTGTTTGTACATATTACCGAGTCTGGTCTCTTCGGTCAAAGAGTTCAACTTAATTTAATTTAATTTAATCCGTATCCTTTCCTTATGGGTTCGTACAATAAGCAAGAAAAGACAGTTCACTACGAGTAGGAGAACTACGGGACATCACACGACACACATATATCTCAAAACAAACCGCGTGGTCTCTGAAGATATTGGCGATAGCGCGCGTTGCGGCAGAAGCGTTCGTCAGTACCGTCGTTGCACTGAACATAGCCGTCGCAAAAGTATTCCATCGGAATGCATTGTAGGCTTCTGCATTGATACTCCCAGTGCCTGCACTGCGATCGGTACACTGGCATGCAATCCGCAAGCAAATTAACTACTAAATCATAACGCGAGCCTTGTAAAAAACCTAAACTTGTGGAAACGTTCATGGAACCACGTTTGTAATATACATATATGATCTCATTATAGACCAAACCATACAAAAATTCAAGAGACATCTAAACGTTTAGGGCGTTTTTTAAGTAGTCACTCCGACAGGGTCTAAAATTTAAGATTTTATTTTAATCAACTATTACGTAGATTAATTAAATCTACACATTTGCCAAGAATTAGAGGAGACTAAGACAAAATAGGACAGCAAGTTAAACCGGGGGTTTAACTTGCTGTCCTATTTATAGGACTATTTATACCGCAAGTTATACCCTCTTTTTTTAGCCTGCTTATTGCGATATTTCAATGGTAAAAAACTGGATTACGTTTTGTTTTCCGAAAAAATATGTTGCAGACAATAGAGGATGCCATTTTTCCAAGTTATTGGTATGATAATGTACAACATGATATTGCTCCAAAATCAATTAAATATAGTCTAAACTAATTTTTTTAATTTTAGACCATTCTTTTACCTCTGCGGAAATCTGTAATACCACCTGTCCGATCATGCCGCGAAAACTATCCCACAGTCTAATTTTTTAAAAATATTTAATACTTAGCAAATTTGTAATTTATATATCATATAATTTATATATCCTTACACGTTAGAAATTTATTCTACGCAATAGAGTTGGTTACAGAAAATCTGGAATTGTAGACTCTTGCGTGATGTGTTCCCTTTAATGCTTTCGCACGATGTCTTTTGCTGTTTGTATTGTTTGAGAGTAATCTGCTGCGCGTTTGTTAGTGATATGAGTGATGCGTTGGATTAGTATATATAAATTTATACTTAATATTTTTAAATTACTATTATTTAAACATTATATATATATTTTTTAATCATTTAAATTTTTGACAAGTACTTCTGTGCTGATTCTTTTTTTTTTATTAAGGCAAACATGGAATTGACATTTTATATCTGTCGCGTTCTGAACGAAAAATTGAAATCTTCAGATGGACTAAAAATCCAAGATGTTCTATTGATGAAAAATCGCTGAGAAATAGCAAAGTATTTTGTAAAAAAGCATTTTGGGATTTAATCCTTTCGGGATATTAAAAGTCAAAATATCATTAGAATATCCTGAAAGAATTAAAGGATTTCTCAATAGACGAAACATTATTTAGCATGTGTATTGCAATTTTCAGTAAATGCATTCGAATAAAAGCAAAAATTTATGAAATGATGCTGAAACGACAAAACGTAGTAAAAACATAGCTGAACTTACGAGAAACGTTGAAATTAATATAATCGCTGGATACACCGCGGCTCGTCTGGATCTGACAGATGTATCTTCCGCTGTCTTCGGGTTTCACTTGCATCAGCTCCAAGTAATCCTCTCCGATTCGTGCGTTGGCTGGCAACGGTAGCCCCTCTCGGCTCCAATGAATCGTCGCACGTTCACGCATCTCGCAACGTAAGCGTACAGAATTACCGGCATGAGTTACAACGTCTCTTTGTTCAGCGCGGATCCTTGCATTGTCGTAAGGATGTTCTGTAAATCATAAATATCAATTTATAATTTGTTGCACTGAGCAATCTTTAAATATTTAGTAAACACATCTGTTTTAGTAATATTAAAAAATCATATTATGATTTTACGCCAATGGATATTTTTTATGTACAAACATTCCCAGTAATCACTAATTATCATTATATAACATAACTGTTATAGTTACAATTTTCTGTTTAACAATATAATTGTAATACAATACATATTATGTTACATATTATATTATTAAGTAGAAAATTATAACTAATAGTTATATGTTGTTGTTGATTGTTTACTGGATTTCATAAAAAAAAGGTATATTTTTAAAAATGTATGTATTATAATATAATATTGTGTTATATATTCTTCTTAGATTTTTCTTTTAATATTAAATAGTTTTTATACATAAGTGTAATTATTTAAGAAGAAATGGAAGAAAAAATTGTATACATTGCAAATTAAAAAATCTAACTAATTATTAACTAACCATTAACTAAAACTTCTGCTACCGCCTCCGCCGTTCCTGCTGCGTTTGTCGCTTTGCACACGTATTTGCCGGCGTCGGAATATGTGATACCATGGAATTGCAGGATGCCACCGCTGTCCGATACAGAATACGGTAATGGGCGTCCTATAGCTTTCCATTCGATATGCAGAGGTTCGTCTCCCGTAGCAGTACAAATTATTGATGGATTTTCTCCAGGTCCCACTGTTTGACGTGTTGGATTTAATTCAATTCTTGGTGGAGCTAAAATCAAAGGAAAAAATTAATCAGTTTTTATGCAGTTTCTGTTAAAAAAAGTTGTTAGAAAAAATTGATTTCGAATTTATTTATTTCATATGATTTGAATCTTGCAATTTGTATATTAATCTGATGCATCTTATACTCGTCTTATACTTACATATAATTTCAAGATGAGATTTCGCTCGGAAGAGCACTGTGCCGGCAGGATCCAAACCCAAACAGATATATTCTCCAGCCGCGTTTCTATCAACAGTCGGGATACTCAACACTCCATTGTGTACTGTGCTACCTTCTGGAAGGGAACGATGATCGCTTCTCTTCCAGTCTAAATAGATATGATCTCCATCTGGTCCAAAGACTTGACAACGCATTTCGACTTTACCACCATCCGGAATTCTCAAATAGTCTTTGGGAATCAATACTCCTCCCTCTGTTTGATTTGGATCCCTCTGTAAATAATTTTTCGTTAAAAACATGTTATTATGTGTTGAAGGTATGGTGATAAAATTGTAATGCTTACAGAATCAGGTTGTGGTCGTTGTCGATCATCGCATGGAATATCGCCTCTGTCGCCAGTGCAAGGTACATAATCGTCATCATCCTCGATACGGATCTGGACACGCTCTTCGGCTATTCCTACGGCGTTCGTAGCTGTGCAAGTGTAGGATCCTTCATCGTCAGATGAAACAGAGTATATCTCGTAAACGGCAGTTAAAGGAGTAGCTGCTGTTTTGCTATATGTGTCCCTGTAAATTATGATGTCACAAAATTATTATAATTAACAATAACTAATATATTTAACAATAACTAGCTTTGTTAGAATTAAATCACAAATCGTAATTTAGGCTTAATTTTTAGATGTTAAATATCATAATATAATTTATATATAGTGTAATAAAATTTTCTCTTGCTGTTTAAACACTGCAAAATTATATTTTAATAATGTAAAAGTTTACAAAGCTTTTAAAATTGATTGTTAAAATAATTAAAAATAAATTCCTTTAATTGCTATTAGCTTATAATTAATTGTAGTAAGCCTAGAACACCGCGATAATGAAGTCAACTTACTGTATAGTTATTCCATTCACATATTTGCTCCAAGCCACATTGGGTTGTGGATGACCGCTAGCGCTACACATCAAACGGACTAGACTTCCGCGTTTCACCTGCAAGATACCATGCTGCGGTGTGATGGTGATCACAGGCATGGACTGTACTTCGATGTGCGCGATGACTGACGTCGAGCCGACTTCGTTTGACGCGGAACAGATGTAGGCACCGCCGTCATTCACTGTGATGTTCGACAGTCTGAGAAGGCCACCGGGAAGTTGCTCGATGTTGGAAGTAAATGGTCGATTGTCTTGGCGAGACCATCGCAATTCGGGCACAGGAAAACCGGCCTTCGCGCGACACTGAAGATCGGCGGAACCGCCGAGGATGACCATTTGTAAATCTTGTGGATATAGCTCTAAAACTGGAGCTTCACGAGCTGCATACAATAAAAGACAATTCGATCTTGCAGAATTAATAAAAGAGTTGGAATAAAACTGAATGCATTCTTTTTTTATCTCATAATACATCATTTGATTTTTTATATATTAAATTCTGAGAATGAAATTTTATTTGATCCAAATATTTTTAATACTTTTCGTTTAGGCATTTAAATATAAATACATATTGCAGATTCAAAGATAAATTTTAATTTTTTTGGTGCTACGATCTTACGTTCAACTTCGATGATAGCGCTGGCCTCGTAGCTGCCTGTGGGGCCAATAACCCGGCAGAGGTATACTCCTCGATCGGAGACCTGGACATTAATGATCCTGAGAGTGTCCCCTACCTGTTGAACACGGGAGCTCATCGTTTCCGTGTATTTGCTCCATTTCACCTGTAGACCTGGTTCTCCGCTAGTGATGCATCGCACTTCAGCCACAGTGCCTTGCTTTACCTCTTGTCGTTCTGGTCTGACTTTGACTGAAGGTGGTTCTGGACGAGATATTATAGTAATCCTGGCAGTGGTGCTCGTCTCCGTTCCGCGAACACTCGTCGCGGTGCACACGTATATATCGGAATCCCTGGGAGTGGGATTGGTAATTGTCAAGATACCGTCGCGCTGACTGGCGGTATAAGGCAATGGCAATCCACCGGACCTCGTCCAGGTGACATTCGCATGTTGAGACGGTGTGCAGATCAACCTGACAACTTCTTCACTGGTTCCAGACCATTCGGACGGAGTTATAGTTGGCGGTAAACCCTGAGGTGGTGGTTTATTAGGATTATCTGCAACGCAGAATAAAGTCTTCATTAATAAAACACGAAAATGTATAAGCTGTAAGTTTTAGATTAATACTATATTAAACGTTAACCCTCCGTTTGCAATTTAGGTCTTTTTGAACTAATTGAATGAAAGGAGAACCGAGTGATTTTCTCCTTTTCTAAAATAAGAGAAACCTATTAAGTAGTATGTAATAAAGTTGAAAAGTAACTCTGAATTTTTCCACATTCTTTTGAAAACCTGGAATAGTAAATAATTTGGACGGAATACAAAATTCAGATGCAGGGTTAAAAATTCTCGTATGATCTACAATATATAGTTCGAGATTTGAATTTTGTGACAACCGAAATATTTGAATACCTTGGACGTATAAGATGGTCGTCTTCTCGTCTATGCCAACATTGTTCCTAGCGACGCACTTGTATTCAGCTGCGTCGTTCTTCGATGTGGCTGGAAGACTCCATACGCCGTTATAGAACGTCGCTTCCGGACTCATGCTTCCGTGAACTCTTATCCAATCAAGTTGGGGTGGTGGATTACCAGTAGCTTCGCAACGGAACTCAACAGGTTCACCTTCCCTCACTTGTTGATATGATGGACTTATAGTGACTCTAGGTTCTACCGGGTTGGTTCCTTAAAGAAGGTATAAAATTACGTTCTATTCACGGACAATTTAACATAGCTATGATTTGTACCTGGTATTTCCAGCAAGTGTTTTGGAAATGCTGCATCCAATAATACACAATGTATAATAATTAAATAACATTGACTTATTAATCTAGTCTGTAATTTGTTTCTCAAAACTTATAATAAACTAATTTACGAGATTATATTAAACTTAACAATTAAAGCATAACAATTAAAATCAATCATCTTGCGGTATACCTCCAACAGTTAGTGTGACTTTTTTATATCCAATGTTCGTTCCATCGCTCACTTGGCAGACGTATATACCACTATCAGACACCTTCACATCTCTAATGACCAAAAGTCCATTCGAGTCGTCTACGCTCCTATCAGGCGGTAACTGACCACCTTCTTTCTCCCATCTAATGTTCACCGAATCCTATTTTCAATCATAAATAAGGATTGTAAAACCATTTTATAAGCCGAGTCAATGAACAACTTACATATTCTCTGGATCTGCCTGTGCAGTGATATCGGACAGTTTTTCCTGTGTGGACGATCTGGAATTCACTTTCCTGTATGTAAACTGTGATCTTCGGTGGAAATATTGGGCTCTGCGTAGTAGTTGTTTGCGGTTCTCCAACTATGAAGAAAGTAAAAAATTGATTTGAAAAATCAACAAATGCAATTTTCTCTCAGTTTCTTTCATATGATCGTGAAATTACAGTAGTACTTGGCGCAACAATAAAACAATATGATGAATAACAACAGAGAGATATGGACAATTACTGAATTTTGCAATTCTGTGGATACATTGCAATGAACAAGCGACATTTGTCTGTAATAACACAAGGATGCAATTATCATTACAGTTCGACAAGACATCATTACAATGACGGTTATTTCGACGAATGATATGGTACACTTGTATTAATTATTGCTACGGTACACAAAATTTACTGTACATCGACAGGACATCCGTAATAATGTATACCATATACCAAGGAAACAGTTAAGCTTTTTCGCAAATACTAATTCTACGAAAAACTACGGAACCGTGATAAAGACTACAAATCCAAGGAAGCCTTCACCAGACTTGGTGATATCTATAATAATGATCTACGATGACCTGAAGAGACAACGCAGGCATGTTTGCGAAATGATAATCCGAGCCCTTGCCATGAATCACCGATGGACGGACAAGATGCGAAAGCTCTCGCTATGTAGTCCGTCAAACCTGGCGTAATCGATGTCACAATTTTGATCAATTCTTTGCCACGGTCATTCACAATGTGACACTCCACGTTGCAGGGAATGTTCCCCATGTGGACGAACCAAGTGCGGACAGCTCCTTTCTCTGTCTTCATTATTGGGCCGATTTCGCCACTCCGCGCAGTTATGGGAAATCCGTCGAACGACGATAATTTAAAATAGATGTAAAACATGTCTGGATAGTCATAGTTGCACGTAAATTGGATCGTGGAATACGGCTCGACTTCGCCATTCATCGGCATTAGGCTTACCATGAGCTCACCTGACCAACGTATTGTCATTACTATTCTTAGGGGGGAAGAGTGAGTTTAAAAGATATTTTTATTATAATGCATAAACGTAAAATCTTGACAAAAATATTCTGTGCGCTTTCACACTTATAAAAACGTATTCAAATATAATAAATTAAATAACTTGACCTGGACTATTTCTTTTTTGCCAATTTAATAAAGTGATTTATATATATCGTCATTATAAATACAATTTAGTTCAATTTATCATTCGATTCTTTTTCAAAAGTGTCTTCTATTTATGAACAAAAGTAATTGGAAATACTAATTAAAACAATTTAATATTATGCACATTTCTAGCATTAAGAGGCATTACGTACCGGTACCACTGTCCTGGCAATACTGTCCCGTGTATCCCGGCAGGCAGTGACATTTGATATGGCCGGATCTACTGATTTCGCAGCTCTCTTCGTTCTTGTTGCATGGACAGGGATTACACGCTCCTAAATAACTGACAGTTCGATCGCTGGTGTCTCTATAATAACCGCGAGCGCAGGTTTCACAGGAGGTGCCCGTGTAACCGGTCGGACAACGACAAGCTTCAACCTGAGTCGCACGTCGGTTTCCAATCAGATTTTCTACAGCCGTGTCCATGCTGATGTCACTGATGTACGTTGCGGTCATCCGCTCACTATGAGACGCACGGACCAAGATAGCTTCTAAATTGGAAAGCACTATCATAAGATCCGTCCTAGAAGCGCTGCGAGGTCCTTCGGTAGTCAGTCTTCTCCATTCATGCTCTTTCAACGGAACGGTGTAGGTCTGAAAGATGTACATCTTTATAATTGTGAAACGTTTAAATTTCAATTTAATTTATAGTGTTACATATAGAGTTTTATGTTTTAAATAATACTAGAAATTAAATTATTTAAAGATAAATATTTAATTAAAAATGAATAAATGTTAGAGCAACTATTTGGTAAAAAAATATTTTATCGAGATAATTTAGATTCAGACATCGGATACGTTCTTCGATTTTCCACCAAGTCCCATAAAATACAGGACAAATTATATTTTACGTACTAGCGGAATTTCAGGCTGAAGCTCCACTGGATTTGTCCAGAACAATGTAATGCCGTTGCCAATTAGTAGAATATCTTGATCCTTGTAACTCTGAGCGCCAGGATGTGCGGTAATATGTTGTGTCAGAGTCAAATTCCCACCGTAACTCTTCACTTTGTTACCAGTAAAAACGCTCGGAAGAGACCAGAATAATCTGCGACTTCTGCTGTCTGGATAGCGGTAGCCGATTTCATTCATTGCCACATTTAGATCGAAGCCATCGTCAATTATGTCACGTCTAGTTCTACATAAGGACGTTAAATCAATTCATTAAAAATTCTAATTTTTTATTATATACAAATTTTATTTATCAAAATAAAATAGCAAAAAGATTAATGGGATTGATTTATGCTTATATAAACTTAAAAAAATAAAGCATACTTACGAGTCCGTAAGAGTGAAGCCATGATGGGAGTCATATACCCACATTGGTATTTGTTGTACGTATAATGTACTCTCATGACATTGATCAGTTACTCCACTACAGTAACACTCGATACATCCATCAATGTTCTCAGCGCGTAATCCATATGTCGACGGACGGCATCGATTACATTCTGGACCCTCGACGTTTCTCTTACATTCGCATCGACCGTCGACGCAAGAAGTGCTGCGTGAACCAGCCTCGTTGCATCTGCATGGCTCGGGCCTCTGACTCCTATACAGGCAATCGTTCGGAGTGCCTCGGGTAGCATCTCCTTCGTATCCCGGTTCACACTGTTCACAGTACTCACCCGTAGTGTGATGAGCGCAATTCTGTCGACGTATCAATTTTTGTATCAAATGCTTTTCTATCCAATATATATTTACATAGTCATATTTTTATAAAATTCTAATTAACTTCAATTATTTGAGTTTTTATATTTTTATTATATATTTTATACTTTATACCAAATATAAAAAATTGCATTTTATATATAAAAATATATTTAAATCAAGCAGTTACCAATATAGCTGCTTTAAGTCTAAATTTTATTAAACTTTTTCATTAAATTTAAACTTAAAAAAACAAAAGAATTTAATAATATTAATTAAACGTAACAATGCGATCGCTCAATTAAAATTGTTTTTATTACCTCACAAGTGCCAGTTTCGGGATCACATTGATTCGAATGATTGTTACAGTTGCACGGTTCGCAGATGCCTAAGTAGAGACCTTCAATAGCCCGGGTGTAACCAACGTCGCAATCCTCGCATGAAAGTCCTCTGTAGCCGGCGGGGCAAGTACACTCTTCAACCTCGACTGCGCGAGCTTTACCTGTGTTATATTTTTCGGCGGTGTCCAAAGACACAAAGGAGAGTCTGAAGCATACATAATGCTTTTAATTAATTATAATTTTAAATTCTTCTCAAGCATTCTTGTTTTTAGATTTATTTTAATTCAACATCGAATAAATCCGCAATTTTTGTTTTAAAATATCGGAAATTTTATTTACCTATTACAAATATTTTATACAATTCTTCGAAATGTTCCTTTCGGATAGTTCTTTAAAAAGTTTAAACAGTCGATTTTGTTTATTATTAGTTGTCACTTAACTGTGAATATATAAGATTTGATAATCAAGAATATATAAAGTACTTACGCAGCTTCGTCTGTATGTGTTGTGTAAGTGGCTTTAATTCTGATGGCTCGTACGTCCGCCAAAGCCATTAAAAGATGCTCTCTGTCCGCTTGAGTTCCATCATTACGTTGCCAATATTGTTCGAGCAACGGTACGGTGAATGATTGCTGGGAGTTAGGCTCGGGAGACTCGCGAGAGTAGTAAAGCAAGTTGATACCGTTAGCCTGTATACATTTTAAGTCACCCTGTTATGTCTTCATCGTCAAGTACGTTGATTAAAGCTCAAGAATGTGCACTTACGCTAATGAGTTCGACGTCCGCAGCGTTGTTCCTTGAACTTTGACCGCCTGGAGAGGGCACGTATCTGACGGTGTACTTGAGATTTCCACCGTAAGATGTTATTTGATCTCCTAAGAAGATGCTGGGCAATTGCCAGTAGTAGACATCATTGTTACCACGATTGGGAAAATCTCTATAAACTATTTCTCGGTTGATGGTGTTTAGATGAATTCCTTTTACAATGTCTGGTGTATCGGTGCTCTTGGATTCGATCAAAGAGAAATCTCGAATCGAGTTGGTAAACGATACGCGAATCTGCAAAGTACGAATGATAGATTTAAGTTTTTATTTTAATCAAGATAACTTATATTTCTGTAGAAGTTGTGCAGAAGAGCCCATTTTGTTTTGTGTTAGATTACATATGAAATATGAAATTTCGCTTATATATTACACAATATCTCATGTTGGAAAGATTAAATTATGATAACGTAAAACAGTGATGTTAAAAAAAATTTAATTAATTGAGAAGTAATATTTAGTAATCTTGGAGATTATTTTGACTTCTTTTTTGATATCATGATGATTCGTGTTCTGCTTGAGATCTATATGACAAACAAAGATGGAAAGAAATACTATATATATATATACTATAACTTCATCTACCTCGTTCCTATACCAGTTAGAAGAAACGCATCTGTTGGTGATGCCCATGCAGAAGCAAGCTATGCATCCAAATTGATTCGTCGCGGCCAGACTAAAGGTATTCGCCTTACATTGGTTGCAAGTGAGACCCGTTGCATATAGCTGAAAAGGGAAATATTAGAAAATAGACGACGGTTCTCGACCGCGACGTTGTACCATTCATTTTTATTCTAAATTTTGAGTTACATACATTTTCATATACAAAAAGACTGTTAAATATACTTACATTTTTAAAGTTAAAAATAATCCACAGAAGATGGATGCAAGAACAATAATAAAATCGTTATGCGAGGTGTCCAGAAAATTGCGCATCTATCTCGCATAGATTTTTTGATAAAACTAATTTGTTTATAAAAAATAATCTTTTTTTAAAGATGAAAGACATAGTCAAGAAAAAATGCACAATTTCTAAGACACCATGTGTAAAATTACGCGTACGATAGGCAACGGTATGATCATCGATATATTTTACCTTGCAATGACATTTTCCAGTATGTGGATCGGCGTTAGGACTAAGGCTGCCGTTAGGATCACATTGCTGAAGCGAAACGCACATATCTCCAGGAATAAGAGGATTCCCTTGGTAACCGGTGGCACACTGCTCGCACCTGCGTCCAACGTAGCCAGGAGGACAATCACATGTGGGTTGGCCGTCAGAGCCAAGATGACACGTGCGAGCGAATCTATTTATAACATGATAAATTGCGAAAGTGTTTTGAATATCATTAATGATAAATTTAATCTTTCGGGTCTTACTGGTTCGATGGATTCGTAAGTGGGCAAGGACAAATCTGGCAAGGGATATTCCTTGAAGGATCGCCATAATATCCCGGAGGACACGGTGGTTCATCTCTGTAACATTGGCCAAGCCATGGCCCACTTTCACGTCTCAAATAACCAGGTGCGCAATGCTCGCATGATAGACCAGTGTATCCTTGAAGACAGTTCAGATAATAAAACAGATGGAACCTTTTATATAAATACCTGATTGATCGTTGAAGAAGTACGTACCTGTAGGACATTGACATTCCTCGACGAAGGACGCGGATCCTAAGCCAGTATTTCGCACATCGGCAGTGTCCATAATGATATTAGTGAGACGAACGTCTAGCTGCGGAGAGTCGTCGTATTTCACCCTGCAACATATTAAACGTATTAAAAAAATTATTCTGACATCTTTTTTTTATAGTCAAGATTCTGGACTCGATGCCTACTTTATAAGAATGTTGTCAACGTTCGCCAACGTCATCATAATTTCTTCCCTGGAAGCTAGAACTTCGCTTCTTCCTTGTAGCTTGTACCAATCGCCATAGAAGAATCTGACCGATCTCTCATTCTCGTAATCCGGCGTTGGCTCTTCACCTTTATGCACCAAAATGTAATTGTTGCCACTTAAGATGACGGAAGGGGCATAGTTCGGCGTACCATTACCGCTATGGCGAATTGAGTATCTTAGATAGCCGCCGTAGGACTTTAATTGACTTCCGTGATAATTCTCCGGCAGTGAAAAATAGGGAATGTTGTAGACATTCAAGTCGTTACTGAAGGATTCCAATAGTTGAACGCCATCCCGGCCAAGTGGACGAATCTGAGATATTTGATTGCTAACGTCGCCGTGGATTCTAATCGTCGGAATGGTTTCAACCGACACGATCTTGTGGCGATCGAATGGCGGCGGAATCTGATAAGTGAAGAGATCGGCGCTGCGGCACTCGGTGGCAACGCCGAAGCAAAAGCATGAGATACACTCCTCGGCGGTCTTCGCCTCGGAATTGAATTTGCCTCTAGGACAAACATTGCCACGTTCCTTCACGACAACGATGGCATCCGGCACAGCGAAGACAAAGCCTCCGACGTTCAACGCCTCGCACGAGTATGCACCCTGATCCTCCGTCTGTATATCTGGACATGTTAGTGTACCCGTTCCGTTGGTGGACACGGTCGTGCATTTCGCGGGGATATGTCCCCAATTGAGACGCCAGTTGATTTCCGGTATCGGAACACCGATTGCTGTACAGGTGAGGACCAATATATCGCCCGGCACGAGGACGACCATTGGCGGTGGAGGTTTCACAATGTAAACGGGAGCTAGAAGGAGAACAAATCAGATATAGACTTAATTTAATACCGAGTAAGCAAACTGTCCACAGAATGATAGCAGATTGACAGTAAATTTGATTAGAAAAATGCAACAGATTTGATCTACAGTGTTCTGTCGGTAAAGTGTGCAGACATAACTTGACGGCAGATTGGCAGTAGAAATCGAATAGAATTTGTCAAATTAAACGTAGATTTTGTTTGTTTTCTGCTATCAATTTACGTCAAATTATGTGCAAAATTGCTCAGTTTCTGCCGCTAATAATCTGCTGTCAGTTTTTTTTATATTCTATCATCAACATTTAATATTTACAAATTTTACATCAAATTTGTAACTTTCCTGCTAATAATAAAATTTGTCAGACACTTTGTAAAATCTGTTCAAGCAGACTTGGGTTGCGTTTCATTATTCACTGCAAATATTGAAAATCTATAATATACGTAACGTGAACTATAAATTTTCAGTATTCGTAGTGAATAATTGATCGCAGCCTTGGTTGACTGGATAGAGTAGCTAACAATAGTGACATTTTACTGTATTGTTAATTATCAGTAAGGCAAAAGATGCTTTCATAATAGAAAAAAGATGCTTTCATAATAGAAAAAAGATAAAATCTAAATTTAACTTCCATATAGAAACGTCAAAATAATAAAATGTTTAAAATGCAATGTAAAATGTATGATAAATAATTTCGACTGTATCTTGAATATTATATAGCTATTATTCTATGTCTAATTTATCCACGAAGATTGTCAGACGATCTATAATAAAATATCAATGCTTCGCGCTCATGAAAGTCTCATCGTTACTGACAGCATCCAACTTCGTCGCTGCCGTCCAAGCAGTCGCGCTCCATGTCACAGTGGTAGCTTTTCGGGATGCACTGTTTATTGCTGCTGCAGGCGAACTCGTTGTAACGGCACGGAGATCCCGGGGGAGACGGCGCGCAGTTCTCCTCGTCGCTGTTATCCGCACAGTCCTTGTCACCGTCGCAACGCCACAACTTGCTGACGCACTGCTTATTATTGCAGCGAAACTCGTTAGGTTCACATCCGTGCGGACCTGTCGAAACGGACACGCGAAGTGTTCGCGTGAAATTTTTACCATAAAGTATGAATGCCGGATATATCTAGCTTTTCGCTGCTGCCTATCATACTTACTGCACCGCATCTCGTCGGATCCATCGGTGCAATCGAATTTACCATCGCAAACGTACGATTTGGGAATACAGTCGCCGTTACTGCAGGTAGCCTGATCGTACTGGCACACTTGTGGTGGTCTGGTGGCTGGCTGCTCAACTACATGTAATCAATTTGATATTATACGCGATCTCTTCAGTCATTAAAACGCAAATTTCAAATTTATTAAGGTAAATGCCTAATTGGCGTAGCACTCATTAAAGCTTATTTGCTGTTTGTAGATAGTTATACATTTTCATAGTAATTTACTGTGAAAGGTATAGTAATTAATTATTTAGTAAATGTAGTACTTTTAATACTCAAAATAATTAATTTCTATCAAATAAGATTTAACTATTATAATATAATTAACCTATATAATATATAGAATTTATTTTAATTAACTCAAACTTATTCTAAGATTTATTCATGCATTTACAGAAGTTCAATTTAGTATTGGCTAATTTAATACTAAAAATTGCTTGTTTTAGTATTAAAAGCACTGAACAGTTCAGTACTTTTGATTAGTAGGATAGTTAAATCTTCACTGCTCGTTAAACATTAAAAATATCATTTCATATTTTCAATTCATGTTCAGAAATGTTTTCAATGTTGGATTTAGCAAAAATTGTGATATATGCTTAAGTAAAAGCCATAGTATTATAAATAAAGTTACTAGTGTTTGTCGTGACTATTTTACCGCAAATAAATTCTTGGATCATAGCTATAAATCGGAGAGGTATTTATATATGTATATGCTAATGAACGTACATTTCTCGACGCTAAGGACGACGGTCACTTGACGGCCCGGGGTGGACGGTGGATAACCCAAGGCTTCACAGATGTAGGTTCCCGCATGCTCAAGTTGAATATTGGGTATCTCCAGGCGACCGTTGATGTCTCTGCTTCCGGGCGGCAGAGGAAGGCCGTTGCCGCGAATCCAACGTACTCTGGCACGTAGGAGACCCTCGTCACGACATTGGAATACGACCTCGCGACCTGATTGGAACGGTTTTACATGATATAAATTCTGTTCGAGTTTCAAGAGATTGCACCTTTACGGATCATTACGCCTGCGATACGTCAAATGTCCCGTCAGTAAGTGATCGGTAAGCAAGCGGATTTTCCCATTTCTTAAATTGAGATGATACTGTGTTAGTTCAATTCACGTGCAGCAATTCAGTTTTTCTTAATCATATGCGATACGTTGTTTGTATGTAGACAGTAAAAATGTTGTATACAAGGCATTTGGCATAATGAAATTAAGTCTTTTTTTTTTTTTAAGAAAAGTTAGTATTAAAAGATTTTTATAAATAAAACAATAAATGATAGGATTAGACACCGGTAGTGAAAGATTTCATACATTATATAATTTTATAATCAAAATTTGCATTCTAGTTCACATTTTGAACGATATTAACTATCGTGCATAATTAAAATTTGCATGCATGCACATTTTAAACGATATTAGATATTACTAATGAAATTTTCGGTTATTGATTTAATTGCATTTCTTACAAATAAATATAGCTTTATGATTGCACAATATATATATATAGATATATCAGCGAAACAAAATATCGAACTTTGTAATGTTATAACTAGAAAATTTATCGAAAGTTTTAAAAATCTCAATTCTGTGTTGCTTATTTTGCTTCAAGAAACGTTTGCAACACAAGATCATAAAAAGCGAGAGTACATATACATAATATATAGACACTTGTATATCGTAACTGAAATACGTATTTCAAATCTTGCACATCTAATGATTTATGAAGATTATTTTAGCTCACAGCGTGATTTGCAGCTTATATTTTTTGAAAAGTCTTACCTATTTTCGCCGGATCTGGCCGAGGCAAGAAAAAATAACAAACATATTCATTAATTAATTTTCTTTCGGAAAACCCTACTTCGTCGGCAACGCAGCACTTGTTGCTTATATTATTAACGTCTATTATTTTGTGTGTTAAGTTTTCTAATTTAAACAATTAAGATGTTTAATTATTGAGATACTTTAGTTAGATGATACCTATGCAAAAATTGAAGTGCAACAAATGCATATACAACATTTCATCAAATCCGTATATGATTTGTAAACAAGATCAGAGTACTTACTTTCTTTAATCACTTGTTCACTGGGATATGTCTTCAGCCTAAGGTCAGATGTTCCATCGGTATCTGCGCAGGAATAAAAATAACAAGTGTTAACAATATTAAATAATAAAAATATTAACAATCATTATTAATGATTAATAAATGTAAATTATCAACTTTGTTAATTTGAGATTTCTACCCGGCACCTTTCTGCATTTTTCTCTATGAGGAAATGCAATCTTATATTTTAGTTCAGTTATTAACTTTTTTTTAGGAAATATGATACACAGTGTAATGTCTACTTCTACGATCTGTTATGTACTATTGCAAAAATCGAGAGAGCTCACAAATGCCCCTCGTATGATTTATCATAAAATAAATATTGTTATTCTCAGATTAAAAGTGTGTACATTATCGGGTAAAGGCGGAATTGCAATTTAAATGATGGAAATACAATACAGACTCATTTGCTTGTATTCCATTTGCTGAAAAACGATGATAATAAATACCTTTTAGTGTTACATAAAACATTACAGTATTGCGTTACAGCAGATATTATGTTACGGTGTCATGGATATTTACAAGGTATTATTGATTAGCGCATGGCGTGTTATCGGCCGGTCGTGCGGTCCCCTTTCCCGAAGGCGGCTCCAGATGACTAACTACAGAGGAGACTCACAATTATCATAACTGCAATCCATTTCATCGGACATATCTCTAGGACAGTCGAGCCTTTTGTCGCACCGCTGATGCAGTGGGATGCAATGACCGTCATTGCACATCCATTCGTGCGCGCTGCACCTACTGTGATTTCTTTGCATAGCTCTATAGTGACAGTCCAACTCGTCGCTGTCGTCGTATGGGCAATCGATCCGGCGATCACAACGTTGATGTTGAGGTATACAATCGCCGCTCTTGCACCTCCACTCCACGTGCAAGCATACCGCTCCGCGAGCTTTAGTTTCGTCGTTAAATGTGTGTCATTATGCTGCGTTTTCGCAGAATGGCTTAGATTATTTTAATTAAGTAAGAAAGTCATGAAATCGCGTTGTCAGTTATTAAATCTTAGTTATTAATGCGAATAATATTCGCAGTAGACTCGCGATTCTATCGATTTTGTATAGCACTCATTTTACTGCTGATTTTTACGTGATTTATATATAAACATACGCGTCATTGACTTACCGCAATTATGTTCATCGGACCCATCTCGGCATTCTGGAATTCCGTTACAGATGGAGGACAATGGGACGCATCTTCTATCCGAAATGCACATATATTGATCCGTAGCACATAGACCTGGTGTTGGCTTTGGTTCTAATAAAGTAAGAAAAATAAAAATATAAGAGAATTTAATTAGATCTAAAATTTAATTAGATTATTTTTTAGAGAATTTAATTAGATTTAAAATTAAATCGAATTTAAGAAATTAGTTTAGGGAATTGTGTGTGTGTGTTATTACTTATTGTTAGTTATTTTTTAATTGGTGCGTGAGTTATATGTTGCTGATTAAATAATTACCCCTTTATACTCACCGCATTCTTCCGGCTCATCGGAACCGTCGGAGCACTCGATAAATCCGTTGCATCTCTGATCGGCGCGGATGCAATCTCCATTGGCGCATTGGAACTGGTCCCGAGTGCATCCTAAAATAAGAGCTTGCATTGTACGTTAACGAGATAATCGTAAATCATTGATCCGTTAAAGAAACGATATAGATGAGACACAGATACATGTAAAATGTCAGCCATGGTGCCATCATATGTCCGTTATTACAATCTAAACAATGATCTAACGCCGAAATATAAATACGATGAAGGTAAAGATTTCATTACCTAGAAAAGACTGTTAAATGTAATCTAGAGCAAAGCTGTTTGACTACGCGTTCTTTTTCTCGTTCGTCTCGCCTTTTTCACCGATATGTCGCCACCAATTTAGATAGCTTTGGTCTAGAATCTAGATCAAATAATCGGAAATCAGTTCATATAGCACAAAATTGGTGAGCTCATTTAACGTATTTTCACGAGAGAAAATAGCGTGACAGTAATAAAAAGTATTATAAATGACTTTTCAGTCATTTATGCCGTATGCACTGATTGTTATCTACGAACATTTATTAAATATAATTCATCATTCAATATAACTTCAATATATATTCAGGAGGAAAGACATTTATAGTCCCGCAATTTTTATGCATGATTTTATCAATTTTATCAGCGGTACATGTGTAATGGAGTTATTAAATAATTATATATTGATTTTTTGAAGTATTTTTTCTTTCAAAATGTAATGCACAAAAATGTATAGATAAAATTGTACTTTCCTCATGCTATGCATGCCAAATAGGATGTATGCCAAACGTTCTACCTACAAGAAAAATAAACGATCTAAATTTTACGTCAGGCAAAGATGCACTATTATTTATAAAGATGCGCCGGGTAATATATATAAGATTGCGATTATAAATTTTAGAAATATAATCAAGTCTCTACTGGAACAACCTACACATCTTCTATTCAGCTGCTAACACAGATTGGCAGAAAAGAACAGATCTAAGAAAATCTGATGATTTCAACGATATTTCAGAATATTTCGCGGATAAAAACTTTAATGTTATTCAAAAAAGCAAAATAAAATTTTAAAAAATATAACTTTCCATTAAAAAAAATCAATTCGAAAAGAAACGTTATAGTAATTTATTAAAAAGTTAAACGATATTGAAAACATATTTATTAAAGACTAAAAATTATTAAATGAGTTAAAATCAATTTTAATGAAAAGAGAAAGCAAGAGAGAGAGAGAGAGAATAATGAAATAATAATACTAAAAAATACAGTACATGATTATTAAAAAGAATATAAGAAGAACTAATTTTTTTCACGTAAAACTTTTAATGTTATTTATACGATAGTAACATTAATGTAAATATACGAAGAATTATTCGTATGTCAAGATATTGACAGTGCGAACAATTTCTTCTCCATAGTCGCAAGAATTTCTCAATGAATCGTCAGGGTGAGAACGAAAGCGCGCGAGACTTCGATGCGGGGTACGTGCGTGTCACCAGATTTTCGAGATCTACAAATAATCTAACCGAAGCAGTACTGTTCGTCGGTAAAGTCGCGGCAATCGTAGAAATGGTCGCAGTGGTGGGTTTCGGGGATGCAAGTGCCGTCGGCGCAAACAAAATCATCCGGAGCACAACTCCTCGGCGTGCTCAGATTTGTCGGCGGCACATCAGCATTTGCATTTGTGTCTGGGCTGTAAGCCTCGTTATCCGGATTCACACCGGCTATCACCCCCGGCGTCTCTGACGGACGCCCCTTCGAGGAGACACTATCCGAGGCGTCTACACCTAGAAGTAACTCAATCTGAGCTGCGGTGTTTCTCGTATATGTGTCATTGATGTATTGGCGACGCGACTGCAACTGATATACGCCTCGAAAATCTCGAGGCAAAGCCTTCTTCTTATTGTCCGATGATCGTACGCATAATCAGGACTTAAAACGAGTTCGGATGTAATAAAGTAAACCTGAGACATAAATAGGCGTTCGTATCTTCATATTCCAAATATCATCTTCCGTCGGACTCAATCTCTTAGAAGATTTATTTATACTAGATAACGATTTTGAGAGACAAGACTATTGCTGTGTGGTACTTAAACATAATGAACTTGCTTGTTGCGCAAAATACAGTTAAGGTAGGATTAAATTTTAAATCTCGTCTACAAAAGTACTTATTCATACAATTCATAATAATGACTGAAAACTATAAGTTGAAAAATGAGGTTTGCGTCCTCCAATCGTGCTCCTAATGTCTTTTAAGTCCTGGTTACGAATACGTTCCGAAGGCTACATCGATATGATGAATTAACCAACGAGGGAGAATTCTGTATCCATCTTCTGAATACTTTATCAATAAGGATCGTTCCCTCGGACCTAAATTAACGCAACTCTTTACGATGAAGACAATGCAAGAATGTCGCAAGTGATGATACCACAAGTTTGACTTACCTCGACGACAGTTGATCTCGTCTTCGTCGTGCGGACAATCCGCACGCCCGTCGCACACTGCAGATGGAGGTATACAGCTGCCATCGCTACAGATGAAGCTACCCTCGTGGCATTCATGGCCTGAACTGCCGGTCTCTTCACTATCCGCTGCAAAATGGATACGCGTTTATCAAAAAACCGCGCTTATTGAATAAAAAATTCGTTAAATAAACAAAAAAGAATTTCCTTTAACCATCCGGAATTGACGTTCAAATCTGTAATACAGTCAATAGTACTGGTCTGCAAGACCCATTTAATTTATGTTAATTAAAAACCCTAATTAATCCAGGAACTAAAGGATATAATTTATACATATAAAAAATGACATAGTTTGTATAAAAAAGAATAAATATTATTTTAATAAGAATAATTCAAATTTGCAAATAAAACGTAAATTGTCTGATATATTTCACAAAAAAATTTATGATTAAACATGCTTTCGAGATTTATAATTAAATATGTCCAACCGTTAATTCCGGAGGATTAAATATTTCTTTAATGAAAAGTCTTAATTAACCCTTAGTATGATTTATATTTTTTACTTATACATAAAATAGATCGTTCTGAGTTAATTTTTATTTTTATAACATAAAAATTATTAAGCGATTTTTAAGTATACATCTTTAGAAAATATTTATATGATAATATATTTAAAAAATTAAATATAAATATTATAATTAATTACTTGGTGCTTCTAATATTTTAAAGAAAAGAAATGTGCGGAACACGGATAATCTAATTACGAGTACTAAGTGTTACACTCTAAGTTACAAAATATACTAGTATATTTGATTTAAAAATATCCGCATAACAGAACATAACAGAGTATGAAGTGTTTTGTGTAATATTTGAATATTGAATATATAACTTTCGGTGAAACAGCAGAAAATATATCTATCCAAAGATATCCTTACGGCAATTTCGTTCATCACTAGCGTCATGGCAGTCGATATTGTGGTCGCAGAAGAAGTTCTTATTGATACAGACGCCATTGTCGCAGGGTAGTTGACCGTCGGGGCATTCTGCAAAAACCAATCAACTCCGTTGAATGGCAAATAAAGGCAGGAGGGATACAAACGATACGAAGAAGATTCTTTGTACACGTGAGCGATACGAAGCGTCAATGTGCACGTTTGTCTAATAACAATCGTTCACGAGCGTCTATTCTACTTTTACCAGGTCATTAAGTGAGGTCGCGAAGAATATCCTCGTATGAGCCGGAAAAAAAATTGCGAACGGCTTCGATGTGTGTGCAGTGCAACCCTCACCCTTGCACGAAGAAATTAGATGCGCGAGGCTGACCAAGTGCCTTCGATAATTGTCGATCGATAAAGAGTCCCGCGAGAAGTGCTTCCTCCTGCGATGGACGAAGAGCGATAAAAGTAATGCCGGCCTCGTCAAATAAGTAGGATCGTGCACATTGCCGCGTATTATCTCAAGAAATAGACGGAGACGACGGCGCGATGCCGCGTGCACATATTCACTTCGGGTGATCAAACGGAAACCGATCGAGAAAGGAAATTGTTCAAAAGATCATAGTTTTCGATGCCTATAATTTCGTGCCATTCCCCGCTAAACCGTATCATAATCTGCAAAATTTATAATAACAACCCCGCGTATAAATGTCACTTCATTTTACATCAAACCGGTTTTACTTAAACGTTTTCGCGTGTGGAAAACATGTCGGTTTTTTTTTTATATGTATTAATAAACTGGCTGAACTTAGTTTCTCAAACATGGGAGAGGACCATCGCGCAAAATGTGACATTTGCAAAAGTGTTACGTCAGTCGCGAGCTTTTTACGCGCTGTACGCAACAGCAGAGCGCGGTTTGTGCACGCGTCAGCGCGCGGCGTGGAAAATTGCGGAGACGTAAATAACCGGACGTAAAGGGGTATCAGAGAAACGTATATATACATATACAATTTGTATATACTGATACACTGTATAAATATATATGTATATATACAAGTAGATGCGCAATTCAAAGATCAGGCAACCTGTGCTGAAAATAGACGGATAGATGGTAAATAGACGTACAGATAGACAAGTAGAAAGACAAAAAGAAGAATAGGTAGAGTTAGTTCGATCCCATCCATAATCGATGCAAAATGCATGTCAAGAAGTCAGAGCGCGTAATCAAGATGTATGTTATGTACGCAAGTATGTTATTGAGTATCCAAGATCAAGGCACAAACAGCTATAAGAAATCAAGACACAGTGAAATATAGGAGTGATCAGTAAATGTATGAAATAATATATGATAAGAATGAATCGGTTTCTTAATCATCATCTTATTCTTTATATCTCAATGTGTCTGACGCTAAAATGTAACAAGATACATATATAATGCTAAAACATAGAAAGAGAAAATCGTTGATTATTGTACATGTGGGAAGAAACGAATCGAAAGGGATTAATCCGGGAATTCATATTTCGGGAAATTAAAATCTCCAAACTCTCTCTTTCTCTTTTTCTCACTCTGAGAAACGGGATTTGACTTTATTACTGTCCGAATTTCTGTATTTCTGGTTTTCTTTTCACATTCTATTTTATTCTAGCTTATATTTAAAGTGCAATTTATAACATGTGACTTCTGGCTATAACATTAAGTTTGACTATAAGATATGACACGTAAATACATGGGCAAACTAAAAAGATGAGATACATCTGTTAATAAAAACAATTTAAACAGTATTCTGAATTGAATGTTTACTGTATACGTAAGATATCATTTAGATTGATTTTATTTTATGTATTCACTTGTTTGATTTGGATTGTATCGAGAATAACCCAAATTGTTGGGGTCGAAACGTTTGCTTACAATTGAATAGTACATGTAATTTACACATTAAGAACTAGTGTCGTATTGGCAATTACCTTATTCTTATTCATTTAATTACTAAGTCATTAATAAAGAGGATGAGAAAGAAGTTCAAACACTTCGAAAGCATCTCCCGAGTTTGGAGATCGAGTTTCGAGAATAAATTTCCTCGGATTGATTTTGATTCATCCGTCTTTGATAGGGTCGTTTCGGGGTGACTACGGCAAGTGGTGCCGCGACACGTCGGTATTCGAGTTAATGGTCAGTCAACGTCCGGCTAAAACGTGCTCAAACGGTCGATACAGGGTGATGAAATGAGATTAACAGCTTCCGCGTACGTGTGTACGCGTTTGTACGCCCGTATTAGTTACACAGCCTCTTAATTGCCAACTTGAACACCGACGTGCGCGCGAAAAGTCGTTCAAGCGGCTGCACCGTTGCAGTTGCTGTCGCTGCAGTTACAGCTGCAGAGTTACTGCGTAGCCGTTTATTAACGTTCTGCACGATCGACATTCTGCATAAGATACGAAGTCGCTCGTATATGACACTCCAGGAACACACCAAGTCAAGAAAAAGTCAAAATGACTTTATTTTAACATTATAAAAGTCAAAATGATAATTTTTTTGTTACAGTATTTGAGAGACATTCAATAATATTAAAAATCAAAATAAAATTATTTTGATCTTTTATTGACTTTTGTGTTTTTTGGAACTGTCTTACTTAGAAAATCGGTTAATCCTGAATAGGTTTCGCATGCTGCATTGCTGCATCTTTCGCTGTATCTTGTCTTGCTGCGCAAGCAAAACGATGCGATAGATAGAATACGTAAACTACTTTTTGACACAAAGTCTGCAATTTTTGTTTCGCGATAATGCACGCGGGAATAGAAAAGCCAATTTTGATGAAAAAGTTGACGAACGTATTAATGAAGATAAAGGAAATAAAATAAAGATTTGAAATAAAAGCAAGATCAAGTGTCAAGAAATAACGAAAGGTCGCGGAATTTGATCCTGCATCTATTTCAAGTCCTTAAACACCGAAACACACATCATTGAGCACTTTTTTTTAGTAACACATGATGAAGTTACGCAAAATTGATTTATAAAATTAGCAATTGGTTGCATTCATTCACTGTTAATTCGCTAAGAATAAGTATCATATGCTCATAACAAGAATACCATACGTCGCAGAAAGTATTATAACCCATGGTGAGAATGCTGATAGAGAAAAATGTTTCAGGAAGTCAATCATGTATTATAACTGCGATTTCTCCCTAACGCGGAAACGTAAAAAATAAAAATTGTTATGTATATACGTATAACATATACCTACATACATATAATACATACAAAAATTTTGACTTTTCTGCTCTAGGAAAAAAATAGCATGATTGACCTCCAGAGAGCAAAAGGAAAAGTGGAATAATATTACGGAGAGAGATCAGAATAAATAACGCACGGAGAAAAATTATCGTTTTAACTGATACATTTTAATTATAAAATTCTTTATTTGTGTGCTAAAAAAAATCTCATTGACTAACTGTTCTAATTTAACGATAAGCTTTCTTTGTGCAAGACTATTATCGACATAAATAATACGCTAAGAAGGATACAGACCTAAGTTACAAAATGCGAATATCCAATGTGACTAAAAAGAAAACAAAATTACGAAAAATTTTATAAGTAACTTCTTCTAATTTGTAATGCAACACTATCGACGATACTGCTATGTCATTCATGTGGAAGCTAAAAGGCAGTATTTGTCGGAACTACTGTGTTAAGTCGATTCTAAGCGTGTGGCTTAGGTCTATATCGTCCTCGGCATGTGAAATCAAGCTAAAAATTAAAAATCACTGTTACGAGAGCAATTGAATTCGTCGGAGCCGTCCAAGCAATGCGGTCGGCCATCGCAACGTCTCTTAATGTCGAGGCACACTCCATCGTTGCATCGAAACCACCCAGGTGGACATTCGGTTACTACAATAATTACCAAGTTCCATGTCGAGTATTATCGTGCATGCTACCCATATGGGGAAGAGCAAGTGGGGAAAGAGAAAAAAAATGGCCTTACCACCGCGGATTCCGTATTTTTTCATTAGATAATCAGACAACGTGTAAGGCTAGAGAAACGTGCTGGCATCGCACGTGAAAGTAATTCATTTTGTTAACACTTTAGTAATCGCGGCGATATATATGTAAATTTTTTTTATCTTTTAGTTGCAATCGGCACATATTATACAAGACGGGAACACCTGTTTTGATATTGAATTTACGATGTATTCATTTTCCTTAGTAATTCTTTATTCGAAAGAAAAAAATCTTGCTTATCAAATTAAATACTTTTCAATTGTATGTATTTATTATTTTATTTAATTTACTTTCTCGAAAAGAGACTTTTATCGATGATGTTCTCAAATCAATAAACATCATGAATAATAAAGTATCTACGACTACTTAAGTGTTAAACAAACGTGGAGATGCTCGCGTGAATTATTACGAGTTTTCTTATCATACACAATAGACGCTGCTTGTCACCCTTGTTAGTCGTATATTATTGTACTTTGCTGAGTACACCAGCCACTCTGCTCTAATAAGTTTCTAAGGCAAAGTATACAGTAGAACGATCAATCCTCATATGAACCCATCGGGACATTCGCTCTTCTTGCATCGTCCAATTAATATTATCATGAGCTACTTACAGGAGCTTTTATCATGCGCTTCCAAATGTTCATACCGGTTATACTCCCAGAGAGACACGTGCGCCAACACTTACACGTAGACAAAATGCAACGTGCGACATCAAGCAACACATGCGAGTGTGACTCCTTTTGTAAAGAGAGAATACGATGTCATATGTGATAGAAAGTCATTCTATGCATGCGATGATTATTACAATTTCAATATAGGTCTTTGGGGCTTTAACTTAATAACAAATACATCCATATCAGTCTTGGTGTCAAAGGAATCAAGTTAGGATATACTGAGATCAGGATAAGAATAATGATGCAATTATTGTATGACGAACGGAAACAATTAATTTGTACACAAATAAAAAATTAAGTAATGATTAACGTTCCATTATCATGCAGGTATTAATTAAGATTAACAGGAAATATATTATTAGATAATTCAAACTTGGTAACTTTTATAACATGCTGCATAGATTAATATTACATTTAATTGAGTAAACAAGCTTTCTAATCGAGGTATAGTCATTCGAAGATTCTAGTAAATCAAGAATAAATGGGAATTACGATATTTGTTGTAAAAGACAAGGTCTGTAATAATTTTGCAGTGTGCGACTAAACAAGCAAGAGCAATGAAAAGGCCATTTTTCGCGTGGATGATTATGGGCGTAAGCTGTCATATAATTACCACATAGATCCTCATCGGATCCGTCGCTGCACTGCGTTATTCCATCGCACCTTTGGTTTTCCGGCAAGCATTCGCCACTGGCACACTTCCATTCAGCAGGTGTGCATACCCCTTTATGAGACAGCATGTCAAAAGCTCGCGCAAAAAGCATTAAGGGTTGAGGAACAATAAGGAAGTCATCAATGGTGTCATTGACTGTTACGAAAGCGTGTCATATCGTATAAAATTGATAAAAATTTCAGTAAGTATATAATATAAAAAAGCAAATTAAATTAAACTCTCAGAGCAAATTAATACAGTTTTTTTAAAATAAATGTTTGATATGTAAAATTATTATAGTATTATTTAGTATTATTAACAATTATTGAAAGTAACTACTAAGTCAATTATAAGAAAATAATTAAATGAAATGACACCACTGAATATCTGTGGGAATATTGAGCTACAGTAATAAACTTTTATTGAATTGTCTCGATGGCAAATACTAACATTAGTAGATATGTTAACGTTGCACTTCAATAAAGAACTGTATTATATCGTTGAAAATATATTAGTAAAATTTATCTCACGTATTTTTCAATGGTACACATATTTTTATGACCTTAAAAATATAAACTAAAACAAAGTATTTTTTATTTTAAAAAATGTAATTCATCAAACTGATTTAAAACAATTTATCAAAAGAGCTTATTTTCAAAAAAGAATTTTAGCGAATTACTATAAATAAAAATATATTAAAATAAAAAATAATAAATATATATATATAAAGATTTTTTATTTTATGAGCAAAAGAGAGATTTCCTCAAGCTTATAAAATCAGAAACCGTTCGTCATCGTTAATATGAATACGTGTAGGGAGGAAATCAGGAAACATTTGTCATCGTTAATACGAGTATGCGGAAAGGAAAGGAAGAGGATGGGCTGTGAGAACGAGGTGAAGCCCTTACCACAGCCGTGCTCGTCGCTGCCGTCGAGGCAGTCGAAGATATTGTCGCATTTACGTCGTAGGAGAACGCAACCGCCATCATCGCAGCGCATCTCTGTCCTCGGATCGCATTCCCTTCTGCGTACGGATGTCCAGCGTGGATCGGACGAGTCTAAGCGCACACATACACACAGGCGCATTCAAGGGAAAAATACGCAGCAAAGAAAATGAAGCAGCATCGAGCGGCCAGAGATCAAATTTAAAGATACATTTGCAGCGAGATGTAATGCATCTACTTTCTATCATACAAATGCAACCATAATGCAACTGAGAATGATACAATACGAAAACTGAAAAGAGGATACCAGTTCGCAAGCAGAGCCGTTCACAACCGTGGCTATAGGATGCTGCATAAGAATGCCCTGTTCATTCAGTTCCTTAAATTATGTATCCTTCGTTTTTTACTGTCCTTTCGGCAATTAGCAGATTGTCGCCGAAAGAACACTAAAGTTTGCAGGGAAAGAAACGTTCAAATGCATGATTAAGGGCACTCTCATCAAACATCGTCATCTGCGTCCGAACGTACAAGTTCGTGCGTAATGCAGCTACTTGTAGTATAATATATCAATGCATGGCGTGTAAATCCACAGGCTGCTTTATAACACGGCGATTTGCGACGCGAACGGGCGAGAATACCGTCGACGATCACCGTGAATCTTCCGTACGGGGATTCGCGGAGTAATACGTTTCCGGTGTGTTCCGACCCTTCCGCACTCAGGTGGTACGATAAAATAGAGCCGTTGTCGAGAACACGGTTTGTTGAAGAACGGAAGAAAAAAAGGAAAGAAAAAAGGAAGAGAGATATATACTTGTACATCTTCAATAAGTTGCCTCAATAAAGTTTAGCAGTCGCGTCTCGTAAGTATAAATTCTCGCGGTCCGCGGAATGTTACAATGGCTGTCGGGGTCTTTGGAGAAGCAACAAGAGGAGGAATCGCTTTCTCGACCACGGTCGTAACGATTGATCGTGAGAAATGCACAATGAAATACAACCATCGTCGAGTGTGTATCCGCTCGGGCAGGTAGATCCACTTGTCCCGCGTAAATAAGAGTTCCTTAAGAGGATTCGACCGAAAGCAAACATTACGGACCTCGAGCGAAGGCGGGCAACTTACTTGTAACACCGCGAAGCCCGAAGATATTTTTCAAATCTCTCATTTTTATTTTTTAACTTCTCGCGGCGAATAAAACTGCATAGAATAACCGGCATGTATAAGCAACTAAAATCAAACGCGTTTGTATTTAAATAGTTATAAATAAAACATTATTATAATTATTAAAATAAATAATAAATTATTATAATATATGTATAGTTATAATAAATATTCTTTTAGAGAGACAACGCGTTCGATTTCTTGACGGCCTTTACAGAAATCTAACCGATTAATTTAATGCTGAAAGACAGTAATTAGTTCCTTATTTGGAGTATTAAAAAAATATTAAAAGTACTGAACAATAATTTGTTTATACTACTTTTAACACTTAAAATAAGTAATTGATTCTATTGGCTATCTTAGTCAGTATAAGAATTTCATAAAAGAGTGCGTTTGATTTTAATTCAATTTTTCATATCTTTGAATCACAAAAATAAATTTGTCATTAATAAAATAAACACGTCAAATAATTTATCGTCATTTTCTTTTTCATTAACGTTTTTAATGGGAAAAAGTGGATCATTTATAGATTTACCAAGGTCGAACAGTGATAGCGGGACACGCTAGACGAGGTTGCACAAATGTATTATGAATGAAGCGATGGACACACTGAAAAAGGAGCGTACTGGTGGTAGGCGAAGTGGTGTGTGTAGTGTCGTTAGCGGACGGGGCGCAGTCCTCGTCGCTGTGATCTGGGCAATCCGGATGGCCGTCGCACCTGTAGACGTCCTCGATGCACTTGTTCCCGGTGGCGCATTTGAACTGGTTAGGCGTGCATTCCCGCTCTGTATTTTGTTTTGTTCAGCGGACATATGCGCAAAGAACACATACATTTTTACACATATATACAATCACTCCGTGTACGTATACATATACTATATCGAAGCGGAAAGCGTGCCGCAAACGCACACTCTCAGACTTCTGAGAGCGAGACCTTTTCGACGCAATTCGATCTTCGATCGTCGGTCTCGCTTTTTTTCCACGAGCTTTTCCTTTACTCTTAATTGATAGCTTCTGCTGTTCCGTTGTCACATCACGAAAGCAAAAAAGCTGCTTCTGAGGCAACGAGAGTGTTATTTAGCAGTTATGACTTACGGGAGGGATTAGGAAGAATTGGAAATTGTATTCGGCCTGCGTTTATGGAGCACGAGCTATGTCGAGCCGGATAAAACGCTCGTGAAAAGTAATCCGTCCTATTGGTTAATGCGAATTACAATGTCGCGTGCAATGCGCGAAAAATGTGTCGTGACGATAAGCGTAGCTTTCCTCTACGATCGACTATAGTTTTGCGGGAGGATACACGATTATTAGCTTCACGTAAATGTGTGTAATGATCTGCTATTATGAGGTCGTTTGTCAGTCGACGGACGATTCCGGTATTTAGAATTAAACTTCGCGGAAAGAATCGTGGTCTCCATGCAATTCGGTGTGTAATACTTGCATATTTTTGCAACGAAATTCGATAGAAAGCGCGTTCGAAAACGAATAAGAAAATATTTGAGTAAATTGTATTTTATATGTTAAAATATATATTATGTTACACATTGTTACGTTTAACGTAATGATTAAATTTCCCTGTAATGATAATTATGTTACCTTATAAATTAATCGTAAGATATTGTATCAAAACGTCCTATTCTACATGAATTATAATTGAAATATTTGGCATTGTTTATTACTTTTAAAAACTAGAAAAGTTCGTAGGGTATTTATGGGGATGCGGTAAGGGGGAATAATGTGATAAGTTATTTACATAAATATATATAATAGATGTATCTATATACACAGAGACTTTAAACGCAGATTTCGCTCTCAGGCTCGTTTTCTTTATTATTTACTATTATTTTCATTTCTAATTTAATTATAAATAGTATAGCGTTATCAAAACAACTCGTGTGATAATTAATACTTTACTTAAAAAAATTCTATATGCATAAAAACTAATTTACTAATTGAAACGTGTTTACCACTCGAATACTCGAAATCTGCGATTAATGTTCGTCGGTGCTGGTTACGTAAGTGTTGGATCCGAATCTAAGCTCTATAATATGAGTCTAACCAACACGGAACAAGTCCGTGATTAGATTCAACGAGGGAAATCATTAAGCGATTGGTTCAATGGTAAAAGCGTTGTATGGAGTGCAAGCTAAGCAGGGTTTTCGGAAAAAACGGTGTGAAGAAAAAGAGAAAGAGATATAGAGAGAGAATTAGGTGAATCATAACTTCCTTGCTTTTGAGTTAGATAATCATTCTAATCGTCAACGGAATGACTTGATGTCAATACACATGTAATACAGAATATAATTACGAAATAAAGTATTCTAAATATCTCTCAAAGTACAATACTATTCATAATTAAGGAAAGATCACGATAATAAGAATAAAAGCGTTATAATATCGATTATTCGTTCCATAATTTCAACGATATTTTGCAGAACATTTTGTTCAAACTGTCTATCGAATCGAATACCATAACAGTGCGAATAAATAATTCGCACCAATTATTCGAAATCAATTTCTGTGCGTTTGTAGTTAAAATTCCATCGCGTCACTTGTTATTGTGCGCGTAACGATACCGATAAAACGCAACAAAAATATTATGTTTCACTTCCAAAACTCTTTTTTTTTTAAAGCTCGAGTTGCATTAAATGTCAAAATAACATTGATTGATATTACGCCAGCAAGTCATCCATGCATTGCCTCCTCTTTTTTTTTTTCATTCGGTCTCCCTTTATCTCTCTCATTTTCTCTTTCTCTTTTAATACCGAGTAGCGTGAAAGGTATACATGGTTATGTACCGCAATAAAGCTCGTCTTCTGCCCTGGGGCAGTCGTCGAATCCGTCACAGACCGAGCTCTTCGATATGCAAGAGCCATCCCCGCAGGTGAAGTCCGTGGAAGGGCAAGGGGCCAAACCTACAGAATGCCATCGGCAAAAAACAAAGATTCTCCTGATCAACGCTCGTATCTCGCATTCTACCGTTCAGTCGCCTCGATTTCAAAAAAATAAAGTTTGGAAATCAGGGGTAATTTGAGTTCATTAATTTATGATAATTTATATCGCGTTATTGAAATAAATAAATGTAAGTAATTTTTTAAGTAAATTTTTTTAAATAAATTAAAATATCGTTACACGACATTAAAGTTACAATTACTGTACTTCAAAAATAGATATTAAATTTGTATTAAAAAAATACTTTACAATAAGGATTTTTTTTATATTGGCGATTGAGAGACAGACGAGTTCGAGGTTGAAATACAAGCTATGAACATATAAAGAGACATTTAAAGCAGTTTTAGGCGTGGTAGAGGACTCGTAAATCTGTACATGAAAAGCATCTTTGGTAAAACGCATATGATTCTGTAACCAAGAGATCTTATTATATCTTAAAGCTTGGTCTAACACTTAAAGCGTCGTGAAGAAGCCTTATGAGGGTGGTTAGAATTATTTCAATTATGAGAGTCGGCAGGAATATTCCACAATATACGAAATTGTCCTGATCTTGGAACATAAAATAAAACAATTCGTTTGATAAACCATATATTATATATTAATTTCACATTATTTGAAAACTTTCCGCGCGGCGTTTAAAGTTTCGATGTTTTGCTTCATATTCCTTTACCTTCTCCTTTACTCCAATTCGTAACGTATATACAATGTTCGGGTACGTGTGTTGTGTGAATTGTGCATATCATCATTACCGGAAATGATTCTTTATTGGTGTCATTGAAATGCCTCTTTTTGTGCAACAGAAAAACAAATTCTGTATCCTTATGAAAAAAGTAAATGAGTAATGCGTGACACGATGATGATGTCAATGGAATAGATGAAATGAGATGTTCTTCCTATATCCGAGAAAAGAGGATTCACGTTTTGCTATTGCGGACTCAACTGGCGATCTAATCGCGAACATAAAACTATTAGCAGCTGACAGTATGCCTGCAGAATGAGCAATCATATAGGCAATAAGGCAATCATTGATAGATGTATTGATACTAATTCCTGCAATCGTTAATCGTAAATCCTTCCGAGTGAGAAGCTTCGACGAGTCTAATAAGAACTAGATAAGATAATCGTCTAATAAGCGATAAGATAATCATCTTCGGTCACTGCACTTTAAGAATCACCGTCTGGCTATTCCCTTTCTCTTCGCAGAAGGCAATATTTTTACAGCAAAGGTGGACAACACAATGTAAACGTGCACTGAATGGAAAGTTATTACTTATTCGTAATACTTCTGTTAACACGTTTTGTTCCCCAAAGCTGCGTAACACATAATAGACGACGTAAATTTCCAACACGCGCCATGACATTGCTTCAAAAGAACAAAAGCAAGTCTTCTGCAGTCTTTAGAACAAAGAACAGCTTAAAGAAATGATAGAGAACAAAGTATTTATGCACATAGCAGGAAATAATGTCCCTGAACTTTTTTTCGTCGCGATAGATCTCGGTATAATTTCCCAAGGACGTCCACATATTAGCACATTTGATATCTTCAAAGCCATTTTCTGTACAGCGAAGATGACAGGTCATCCCAACATGATGTCACGTTTGCTTGAAATTCATGTGACGCTCCATCCAAGGCGAGATATTTTTTACAGCGTGAACAAAGAGCGAAAGAAGGCGACTCTCGCAGAATATTATTTTGTTTATGAAATGCACTGGTCTGATTGACCCTTTTCAGTTCAGTGAGCTCACTTTGGAAGCGTGGTACTACGGTTTACTTTGAAACCAGAAATCCATCGGCCAGAAGAAAAAGAAAAAAAAGGAAGAAGATTATTTTCTACATGAGGAATACCTTTGGTGCAGTTCTCCTCGTCCGTACCGTCCAGGCAGTCTCTCTTGCCGTCACAGACATGCAATAATTCTATGCACATGTTGTCGCAAGGATGCCCATAAGGGCTGCATCTGTCAGGCGACGTGTCGTCAACAGTGTTCGAAGTGGATTCAATCCGTTTGTTATTAACTCTCTGATGCTCTTCCCACCTCTTAGAATATATGTAATCGCAGTCGGTTTCGTCATTGGCGTTAAGACAGTCTACGATACCGTCGCACACCTGGTCCTCATCGATACATGTATATTTATCGCAAGCGTGCTGAGTCTCGTTACAATTCTCGATCTCGTAATCCTCTATGATCTCCGTGATATCATTATCGATTTCGTTGTCCTCATCGGATGTTGATTTCTCCAATCTGTCGTCTTCACTATTGAGATCCCAATTGTACGTAGTGCCTCCAGAACGCGTAGTACTTTCCCAAGATTGTGTTCCTTCATTATTTTTATCACTTTCTTCATTCAACATGGATTTATTTATCATCACTTTTTCCTCGTTATTTTCTCCATCCTTAATCATATTATGTATTGTGCTAGTTTCTTCATTATTTATCTTCTTATTTTCTTTGTTGGAATATTTCCAAAATGAAGTAGTACTATCGGATGTAGATATTGTATCGTATATTGAATAATAATCACTGACAGATGTACTGTAATAGCTTGTTTCTTCTTCTGTTGAATCACTTGTGGTTGGAAACAAATTAACATCTTCTTCACATTCTGTTGATTCCTTGTCTGTCTTTTTATCATAATTTGTCAACCAATTAAGCCAGTTGCTCTCAGTAGTAGTTGTAATTAGTACTTTACAAGTTTTAGAAATTTTTTTATTAGACGTTGTTGAATAAAATACGGTGCTACTGGTAACGAGATCCACATTCGTTTTTTCCGATTGAAATTCGTCGTGGATGCTGTTTTCCGTGGAGTGTTTTGAAACGAAATCATCAGCGTTAGAGAATTCGGTTTTAAAAGGTTCCGTTGTAATTTCATCAGTGAGATACCAGTCGTTTCCACCAGTACTCGTATTACGATTACCGTCAGCTTTGTTATACCAAGGATCATTAAGGGACAACGTCTTTGCCCGTTCTGAACTATAAACGTTGCCATAATCGACACTCGTTGACTCGTCGACTTTCCAAGCGACGGATGTCGATGTTGGTTTCCTCTTACGTTTCGCATGATTCTTCTTCCTTTTCTTGGGTCTATTGTTCTCACGATCATTATGACGACTTTTGTGCTTGCGTTTACCGTGTCTTTCAGTGGATGTTTCCTCTCTGGATTCGTTTGCATCCCGCGTGACGATCTCGGGAGCCCTCGTTGTCGTAAAATTGAACAGCACAACGTCGAAATCATCCACAGATTTTTCTACAAAAATCTCTCTGGATTCTTGCGATTTCTTCGATATAATGTTTGTATTTTCTACAGTTCTTGATTCCGGCGTCTCGCCTGAATTTATCAATCCGGAATCGATCTTTTCATCACTTTGTATCAAGTTTTCGTCGTTAGTTCTGTAAATGTTTTCGAAAGAAATATTTGATCGTTTGTGCGTTTTATTATACTTTTTATTACCTTTAGTTTGCTGAATCGCGTTATGATTTGAAGTTGAAAGATTTGATATTATATCGACATCGTCAACGTTAATTGCTGGAAAATACCGACGTATTTTAGCCTTTGGCGATTTGAATTCATATAATAATTTTTCTGTCTTTATCGAAGAATAATCTTTTTTGTTTGGTTTTACTGTTGCGGACATTTCTTCTAAAACAGGTGAAGCTATTTTTTGCTCTCGATCATATTTCATATTCGTCATATTATACTCTTTAGTTTTAATTGTGTTTACAGGAACTGTTCTTTTAGATGGCGTGACACGACGTGTCAGGTTTTTATTATAATTTGAAACTTTACTGTCTTTTCTTACCTCATATTCAAAAAAACTTTTTTTATTATTCGGATTGTTATTTTTTGTTTCAATAGAATTTTCTCGTAAATTTGATTGACTGTAAGTGTTATTGAACATATCAGAATAAATAGATTCAGTTACAACTTCCAGGGTATTCCTCTTTTTGGTTTGCCAAGCCTCGGTAACTTTATGCTTATTAATATTTTTTAAAAAAGTATTTTTTAATGCTGTTGAAGTTTGTGTATCAACTGCAAATTGTGTCGACGCTTTCATCGTAGATGAAGTTATTAAGTTTTTCAAATATTTATCATAATATTTTTGATAAGCCGAACCTTGTCTTCTGCGTTGGTTTGTTCCAAGAATCTTATTATTGCCACGTTCATCTGTTACACTAAAATTCCGATTAACATTAGCGTCATTTGTCATCGTTGTTTTAGAAGTTGTATAAATTGGCTTAATTGAAACTTCAGTTGTTGAATCACTCTGACGACATACCATGTGCTTAGTTTTAATAAACTTGCAAATCAAATTATCAATCCGTTGAGTAACAGTATTAGTTGATTTTTTTTTAATCATTAAAGGATTATTTTTCGTGCCTATTTCTTGATAAATATTTTTCGCGGCTTCTACAGTGACGTTTTTAGGGCGATGTATAGCATTATTGTCAATATTATTGTTATTAGACATATTATTTTCCGATTTCATTTGTGTCCTCTTAATTTTATCGCCATTTTGATATTCCATGTCTTTTTCTGAAGAGATTTGGATGACAGTTCTAGTGTTTGAATTTTTTGATTTGGAAATTTTTTTTTTTGTAACGTATTTGTCTTTTTCACTGGATGGAAAAGTAATAATCGTTTCATTGAATGTTTTGCACTGTTTCGATGCGCAATCAATATTGTTTCCACTTATTATTTTTTGTGTTTTATCGCGATTATTGATAGGTTGTAAGCCAAAATTTTTCAGTGAAATATTTTGTTGGTGAAATAGTTGCAAAGATCTTATGAGATTATCTGACAGCTTGATAGGTTTTGAATGATAAATTTCGGCATTATTGCAATTCGCATCAAGATTACGAAATCGATCACATTTTACGTATTGCGAGGGCGAGTTATTATCTTTCGATTTGGATGTAATTTGGATCAAATATGCTAAGGGTTTCTGCAGCATGGAGTTTGGAAATCTTCGTCGTTGAGTTTCTTCCGGAAACGCTTCCAGGATCGGATTACTGATCGTCACGGCTGGTTTGATGGCGAGTCGATCGGCGCTCTCCGTCGCCACGGGTTGCATATTCATATTCCTTCGGCGTTCGGCGAGTTTCCCTCCGTAGGAAATCGCGGTCGACTTCCGTGCAATCGCGAACTTTCCGGCATTTCGCCACGGATACTTCTCTATGGGCGGCGCATGGTTTCGCGATAAGTAAAATTAAAAAGAGATTACGGAAGAAAAAGGCGAATGTAATGGCGAAAATATCACGCGGAATGCTTGAAAGCTGTATTTGAAAGTCAGCACGATCGATGGAAGTTGGTTGAATTCTGTCGGTTGCAGTATTAGACTTTCTATTACCTCTACTGTATACTAAATTACAATAATATGAACATATTTGTAAAATTGGCTAACTTTTTACTAAAAATAAAAAATCTGATTATTTTTAAATCAAAATCCTTGGAAATATATACATATATAAGAAAATTTTTCTCTCTGAGTGCCTTAATCTCAATTAATTTTAATAATAGAATTTGAAATACAGTTTCAAATTATAGTTGTATTTGAAAGTCGGCACGATCGATAAAGGGCAAGTTGATTGAATTCTTATTAGTTTTAGACCTTCTATTACTTTTTTACTGCATAGTAAATTACAATAATATAAAAGTACTAGTAAAATTGGGAGTAATTTTTACTACAAAAAATAAAAAATCTTTGACTATTTTTAAAAAACTAATCAACCCTTAGAAACGTGAACAAATAAATTCTTATTACTTCAAAATCTCAATCTCAACCGATTTAAAATCTTAATAACTAATAAACACCTGTATTACGACAAGCGCCAACCCATGTACACTGTCCAAATGCAGCTCGCAACATTATGAATGATATATTTATTGAATGACTTGTCACGTGCACGCGCGCGAGAGTGATGTAAGTACGTGTGTTTTTGTATTATGTAGAAAAAAGGGCGTGGATAAGTGTGGTGTGGCATAATTACCGCAGTCCCTCTCATCAGAGCCGTCAGAGCACTCGTTCACCCCGTTGCACTGCAACACGTAGCTGATGCAGCGGCCGTCCGTGCAGCGAAACTCGGTGTCTCCGCAACCTGCTCCATACACCATACACTCATGCGCATTTAAAGATTGCATCGCCCTGCTGACGCGCGTCAGCCCCCGACCTCAAGTTGTTCCCATCCCTCCAGGATTACTCATGATCCATCAGCAAAGCCACGCGATCACGGCTCCAAGCAAGCCCTTCGACACTCCGAATCTTCCGTCCAAAATACGCGTTAAGTGAATAAACCGGGCGTGATGCTAAATAATTTCGCCTGGCGGCAGCATATTTATGATCACGCGGTGCCAAGTGACACCGTAGGTCAGAGAGTATACAATTTGCATATATAGCGTTATACTATCTGGACGGTAGAAGCGGACGCACCCCTTTACCTGGTGTGAGATGCTTCGAGCTGTGCTGCTTTTGCTGAGGTTAGTATGTGAACGAAGGAAGTATACAGGGAATATACAAGAGCGAAGAGCAGCAATCTGCATTCTCAATCAAGAAGATAAGTCAATCGTAACGGAATGACGTGGACTATTGGATTATCTTTACGCGATTAATTTATCTTCGATCGGCAGCAGCGAGGATTGATGTCTTCGCTCTCTACGCATGTTGGTTGCAGGAATGTCGGATGCGGTTCGTTTAAAAGTCGATTAATTAAAGCGAGTTTAGGTAACACAGGAACGTCGTAACGCAACGGTCCGAGTATATTGGGAATGCTTGAAAGTTCGCCGCCTTCTTCACACACGACCGGTCGTGAGCGCTCTGGTTTAGGTAGCAACGAAACCTGGATTAGGTGAGGTAATGGTGCAACGACATTGCGGCTAAACTATTTCAGGAAAAGAGGTGTTATTTTCGGCGTTGCGCGCTGAGGGCATAAAGTTCGGTCAGCGTGGAAAATCGTAAATCGAAAGTCACGTGGAGCGTGCCGGAGAAAATTAAGTTTACGTTTATTCACGTTACAGCGTGCAACGGTGTATCCAACACGTAACCGCTCGTCAGCGTCTAATTATGTGCAAGCGTAAACGCATTTCTGCTCGCGCGTACTCGTAGTTCATCATTGTAATAAAGAGACAAATGTTTTCATCCGTGACAAAACTGATTGAAAATTAGCGATACTTAAAATTTCGAAATGATGATATATACGCATATAAATCGCAATCTTTGCGACGTTATTTCCACGACGTTAAGCACGTGTTCGAATGAGATCACTGCTAGGTTTACTCGCGAGACTTATCAAAGTGCCTGCAATCTTGTTGTTAAACTTCGCAGGCGCGTTTGAGGCTTGTTTAAGCTCAGACGCCCCTCTCGATCGCTCGTGAATAATCGCGTCGGGTAACCGACACTTGGCAAAGAGCATCGGTGCAAGCTTATCGCGGCTTATTGCTGGAACCGTTGCGGGAGTTATCGTTGCGCGTGCAAAAGTGATTATTGACCTCACGATTAGAACATGCAACAACGTAGAATTTACGTTGTCGATGAGCAAAGACGATACAATTAGAGATTACGAAGATATAAGAAACAACGGAGATGTATAAGATAGACTCCGTTAAAATCTGTATTGTTAAAAACATCTCAATGGTATATTCTGCTCGCGCTCTCAAAATGTAAAAACTGATCGAACAAATACATGTTTCAAAGAGGGAAGGAAAACAAATTAGCTTACCGCATTGGCTCTCATCTTCGCCGTTACGGCAATCGGCGATTCCGTTGCAACGCTTGTCGATACTTAAGCAGATGCCATCCAGACAACGGAATTGATCCCCACTACAGGTAGTCACTGAAAATGATGATATAAAGGGGAATGAAACGTTTATAAAATATAATTTATCAGATACAAGATCATATTTAAACGTATAATATTTTTAATTCCGAAATAATTACTTCAAAACCGAGCGACAAAATTATTCACCTCTTCTTCATTAGTCGAGATTTATTCTAAATTATAACTAATAAACTATATATGTAATAAAGAATAAATATAATTAAAAATAAAATAAACATATAATTAACTGAATATAATAAAAAAAAAATTATCTGTAACTTTTATTTAAAAGTTTCTTCTAATAAAGTTTATTCTAATTATAAATGTTAAGAGAGAATATATAAATCAACAATAACATTATATCAATGTATAATTTTCTATTCAACAATATAACTATTATATACAATATTCGTTATGTTACATTTATATTGTTGAGTTGGAAATTATAATATTAATGTAATATGTTATTATTAATTGTGTTTCACAGGTAAAGAAATATGAATACGTTAAAAATTCAATGGACAAAATATCAATAATCAAAAGAAAAAGTAATATAAACAAACACACCGTTGCAATTATATTCGTCAGAATGATCGAGACAATCGTTTCGTCCATCACATCTTGCATTTTTGCTGACACACGAACCGCTGGCGCACTCGAATTCGTCCGCTCGACATCGCGCTATTTGAAAAAGAAAAAAAAATGTGCTATTTGATGGAAAAAAATAAAAATGTGTATAAATAAAATAAGGGAGGGGGGGGGGG